CTGTGTTTTTCTTTTCTTTCTTTGTTGATTGGATATTATATGAGTATATGAGTATTTTGGGAGCCTTTTTGGTCAGCTATGTCCACCTCCAAAGCTTTTGCTTTCAAGATAGACTTTTAAGTTAGACCTTAAATAATAAATGAAATCTACACAACATTCTTCATCAGTCTGAAGAATCCTTTCACGATTTAATCATGCAAAGGGTTCTTTGTGCGTTCATAGCTCTATATTGAACCATTTTTCTTTAGTAAAGATTAAGTGTGTGGATGAGTTCACAGGGCTTTGTTTAGCCTAAAAATACACAAAATATGTATTTCTACTTTGTTTATTAGTTTGTTTTTGTTTTTTTGTAGTGTTTCTTCTGTATTTATTACAGAACTGAGGGATGATATACTGAGCCACCACCAGGGGGAGCCCAGAGAGTAAGTGCGGTGCTTTTGCTTTTGGTGTGGCTTCTGTTTTGTTCCCGATTCCCTGACCAGTCACTTGAGAGAGTCACTTGAGAGCTCATATTGATACACTTTCATTGAAGTGTACTGTAAACACTCAGTTAACGTGGCGGCCCAGACATAGCTCTTGTATATAATCTCTCACTGGGGAAAAGGGGATTCTTGTTTTTCTTGTCTTTTTCTCCTGGTTTGCTTTAGTTAGGAAGTTAGGTTAGAAATTGTATTTGATGTTCTTTTTGTTAGGTAAGTAATATTTTCCTAAACTTAAGTTAGCTGTGTGTTGTTATTTTACCCTTCTTTCCCCTAATGTTTCATAAATGTCTAAAGCCTTGAACTCTTGAAAATAAAGCCAAGTTGTTATTATCGCAAAACTGGTTGTACGTGTGACCTGGGAACCAGGGAGGGCACGGAGGTCTCTTTATTTTTATGTTGCGGCCCGACCTAGACCGGGTCGCAACAGCTGTGTCACAAAGTTTGCATGGACAGCAAAGTAGATTACGGCAAACACAGGCGGGAGCAGTTGTGGACCACATGCATAGCCCAAAGTAGGCAGGTGCAGGTGGGCATGCCATGTAGTTGAAGCAGGGAGGTGCGGGCAAAAATAGTGCGAGCTTTTGCAGGAGGCAAGAATCATCATCATCATTATCATCACTTTTATTTATATAGCGCCTTTCCCATGCTCAAGGACGCTTTACAATCAATACATAATCTACAATACATAACACAGAACACACACACACACACACACACACACATACTCCATGGCTCCCACAGCTAGCAGAGGGAATTTCACTGACCACAGTATAGAGTCACTTGGCTAGCCCAGAAAGAGTCCTTATCGGTGGGGGAAAGTCTCACACTGCAACTACGGTGCATCACACAGGAGGCCGGCCCGGGAAGCCTCGAAGGCCGAAGATGTCCTTAATTTTCCTGCAGCCGAACACCACCAGTCCAGGCAGCCTCATAGCTGCAATGCAGCATCACTCAAGCGGCCGGTCCAGGCTGCATAATAGCCGAGATGTAGTGTCACCCAAACAGCCAGTCCAATAAGCCTCCGAGCCACAGCTGGAAAGTCACTCTCGGCCGCTATCTCGGTGGATATGATGGCAAACTTCTCAGGCAAATATCAAAACAAACACACAAACAATACAAAACTAACGAAAAACACTAGATTGTGCGGGTGGAGGTGGACATACTTGGTAATTGAATCGGGTGGGTGCGGGCACTAATAACCAGGCCCTTGCAGACCTCTATTGACCACTGTTCTAAAGATGTAGTGTGATCAAAAATTATTACTGGGAAACGACTTATTTACGCTTTAGAGTCAGTGTACACCGACACCCCCAAACTCCCCCCTTCGGCCCCACCTGTCCACCCGCTTGTCTCAGCACCAAAGTTACTGTAGGCCTATAGACAATCTAAAAGGACACATCTTAATCAGTGGGAAACACTGTCTGGATAATAGACACATCTTAATCAACATATATATCTCTTTCCCCTTGCTTACTTTTTTCCATTCTTTATGCTTGTGTGGTGTTGCCCCCTAGTGGACGGGGCCCAAAGCTTATTGGGTTAATGCTGCCTTGCCAAAAGGTTTCTAGTCTGCCTATGACTCCCGTCCAATTAAATCATTCTCTCTACCTGTCTGTGCCCGTCTAGATGCTTTAGTGTATATTCATTATATCACTTTCGCATCACTGTCATTCTGTAGTCCAGAATGTGTGACACGGATGTAGCAAAAAAATATTCATACTCATTCAAAGCATAATCATGAGCTTAAGCAATTTTATTAATTGGCCCTAAAGCTGTCCAACATAATAACCAGGACAATACAAGTCTGGGTACTTTACATGGTAAAAATCAGCATATTGTACTACTTAAAGTCACTGGAGATGGCTGAGGGTGGACCGCAAACTGCTAGAGTCACCCTGGAGGAAGAATGTTTCTGTTTTCCACTATCCTGTGGACATTTGGCCTCTACAAAAAACTGGACACAAACACAAACATCATTTCAGGCACTTAAAGCTGCTTGTAAGTGAACCTTGAATGTTGCACCTCAACTTTGCAGAAACTATAAATGCATAGTCTGAACATGGAGACAGTTTGGCACCACATCGACTTGTAGACTGAAAAATACAACTGTGCATAATTGCTATGAACTATTAACATTTTAAAGCTTCTTTTAAAGATTTAGTGTGATCAAAAATTATTATTGGGAAACGACTTATTTACACTTTAGAGTCAGTGTACACCGACCCCCCCAAACTCCCCCCTTCGGCCCCACCTGTCCACCCGCTTGTCTCAGCACCAAAGTTACTGTAGGCCTATAGACAATCTAAAAGGACACATCTTCTGTGCTCTATTTGTTTGACTTCCTTTGTAAAACTTTTAATTTAGGATGCATGAGCATGAATTTTTATATCCGATTCTGATTTACAGCCAAACTGGCTGTAAACAGCATTTTTGCATAGGTAAATGAACCCATGAAGCACACTATTACAATTACATTACTTTCCAAAATCACAATGATTTTTTACTTTTTAATGGGCTAAACTGCCACTTTGAATAGATTGTATTGTCAAAGGCAAAACGTTGCCTATTTAAATAACATTAAAAAAGCTGCTATATCAAAATAAAGCACAGATCAGCCAAAATATGACTGATTAATTGGCTATTTCCAATTGCACATCACCACTGTTTGTTATTTCTTATGCTGAACATATTCTAAAAGGCGTTCACTAATCTGCTTTCCTGTACTGTGGAAAATATCACTATCTGTAATAGACAGATAGACAGGTTGGTCAATAGACAGACTGTTTGTTTACACTGTGAGTGATTCTGTTCTGTGTGTAACTCATGGCTCCTACATTTTGATGCTGCTGTTTGGGGGGGTCTGAGTGTGAGGCCCTGTGATGACACCAGGGTACTCGTCCTCAAGCGTGTCATCCACAGCCTGAAGGATGCTATTGACTACACTCAGGAGCAAGATGTCAGTGTTGAGGTCCACCGACAGCTGGGAAATGTAGTTCTTCACTGGCAGCACATAGGACAACGGCAGCCCCACCAGATCTGCTGCCTTCTGCATCTGTAGGGGTGTTAACATACACATTAATATTCATCATTTTTCATGCAAGGGTTGCCAGATGTGTGCTATGAGTTAAACATTTTGATTTTATGCTACAAGAAATATTTATCACAACAGACAGACAGATATAAATTAGAACGGTTTCCAGCCAAGAGACAACTCCTGTGCTGTATGTGAGACCATTTACTCTTGAGTTTATTTATATTGTCTGAAAATTATTTATTTATGATTTCTCCAGGCACTTGATCTCTGAAAAAAACATACAGATTTTTTGGTGGTGAAAAGAGAAAAAAGCAAAATGTTTGCATTACTTTTTTGTACTTCTGTACCTGAAAATATATTGTGTTTCCTGACGATAAAAAATGGCAGACTAGCCAAAATAAAGCAACTTGATAAAATTAATTAACCCACAAACTAACTAAAACAAACTGGAACTAAAACTATGATGGTGATGAAATGCTAATTATTTGTTACACCCTTTACCTGATTTGTGAAAGCTGTATATGAATGAGACGCTATAATCATGGCGCACAAACAGCCGAAGAACTTGGCTTCAGCCAGACTATTGAGACACCGTTACTGCCTACCCATCTTTAAAATGAGCTATTTTTAGGAACCACAACTACACAGCTAACAATCACAGTGAGTGAGGGCTGTTTCAGGACAGATTTGTTACATGACTGGACCGGATTAATTTTTCATTCCATATCCTATCCGGCATTTTCTGATATTGATATTAGCCTGAAACTAATACCTGTTATTGGATGTGTGTCATCTCTAATTTAAATGCATACAATCCATGATCTTTTGCTTACAACACTACTCTAGAAGTTATTCTACTATTCTAACTGGTTTAGTACCTTCTCCTGCACATCTCGGCTGGAGTAGACAGACATCATATTCTCCTTCACTGCATAGCACACCAGGTCCACATGTGTCAGCAAAATCAGCTGAGGGATACCTGTGGAGTATGACAGAGTTCAGAACATGTGAAATCAAAATACATCATGTTATCTTAAAACTGGGTGACGATTTTGCATTTGAGACCTAAACATTGAGCTGGATCTTCTTTTTGAGCCTGTGTGTATGATGTTAACACGTAAAAACATGTGGCATGGTCTGAAAAACCTGTGTCCAACCCAACATGTCTTAAATGATTAAAAGCCTTTACAGGTCGACTTGTAGTAGCGCACACCCCCCATATTTTAGCCTCTTTTTATTCTCCTGACTCAGTAATGCTACTTTTTTCAGTTTTAACAAAACTAACTTACATAGTGCAGCTTTAACATATCAAAACAGAGGCAGCAGCACTGAGAAATCACTTTTTTTCCATTTTTAAAAGGAGAAGAGTAGATTTAATGGCCGGAATGGCTCCCTTTTGCCTTTGCTTTGAAAGGTCAATGGATAGTTTTGTAATTTTCTTCAGTCAACTTTCAGAAGCACATGTACCGAATAAACTCTCTTACCCAGGTTCGATACAGTGGTGTGGAGCTTCCTGAGGGAGGTTCGCAGGCTGCTGGAGTAGGACGTCACTTTAGAGGCATCAAGCACAAAGAGGACGCAGTGGATCTGATCCTTCAGGGTGGGAGCTGCTCTGTAGCCACTGACCTTATCATTGATGGGGAAATCACTCTGGAACTGGAGGAACACAACAAAGCGAAGAGACAGATGGACATGCAGCTTACAAAAAAATGGTGGAACCCTTCAATTTCCAGGCTTATTATACCCTCAAGCTTAATATTCAATAAATACAAGGAAAGCAATGCAAACCTAAGTTATTCTTCAGTTATAGGAGTGAGGAATGGAAGCCTGGACAAGGTTATTCACATATTGTGACAAGGAATGTATGGACTGTATGTGTAGATGTACCACTACTGAAACATATGCACCAACATACGTAATTTTGAAAACATCTTACATCTTTAGCATGTGAAATAAAAGTTAAACAAATGGCTTAGTAAAAAAATCTAATTTACCTAATGTTTAGATTACATTAAGTGACCCTTATTAGTCCCACAACGGGTAAATTTCACCTCCACATTCTAACCCATTCGTGCAGTGAAACACCACATACACACTGGTGATTGCACACACACTAGGGGGCAGTGAGCACACTTGCCCAGAGTGGTGGGCAGCCCTATCCGCAGCACCCGGGGAGCAGTTGGGGGTTAGGTGTCTTGTTCAAGGGCACCTCAGTCACGTACTGTCGGCTCAGGGGACCGAACCAGCGACCTTCCAGTCGCTAGGCTGGTTCCCTAACCACGACTGACCATTCGTAATGTTCCACTTGCCTCAGTTGGAATCAAACAAATAAGACATGTTTGGTGTCCAAATTGTGCTCCTTTAGTTTACAAGTTTACATTGGAGCTATAAGGCTAGATAACAAACACTAGAAGTCAGTAGTCACCCACATCTTACATTCTCAAAACTTCTCTCAACCTGTTCAGTTCAGATTTTCGGTCTTCATTAAAGTCAGACAGACTTGTCCATGTGAAGTCTTCCTTATTTTACTGTGTTCTAAACCACACTGAAAAGACCTTAATTGAGACCTGGATGCAGTTTTTCTGGTTGAGAGAAGTATATATATATATATATATAGCTAATAAAAAAATCAAGTACTACTAGTTAATGCCTATGCTGAAATAACATTGTGCATAGAGTGGAAAGGGGGTTGTTGTGATAAAGAGCTGCTTGATTAACAGGAAACAAATAAAAAATCGATCACAAAAAAAGAGGAATACAATTCATGCTGTTTATATGTTATTTTACCTCATTTGACTAATTTCTACGGGGCTTGATACAGCTAGACTAGTATCAGATAGAGTACCTGGTATCCCTCTGGAACATGGCCCTTGATGACCGCCAGCGTGTCGGAGAGAGAGAGACCAGTAAAGTCTTCATCTCCAATGGCCAACACATCACACAGACTCAGAGCAGATGGAGAACCTCCTTTCTCTGCCCGAATATCATACGACTTCAGCTGGGTGACAGAACAGAGAAGAGAGAGAAAGCAGTGCCAGCGTTTCCATTTCTATCATTTGGTCTTTTATCGGCTGAAGATAAAGGAAATTCCAAAAGAATTCAAAGAAAAGGATCCATTTTTTTCAGATTTTTCACTACTTTACTATCAACATTAAATACAAAAAGTCAAAAGGGTCTGTACATTTCTCTGCAGTGCACCATTTCACATCAAACCACTACATCTCAACAAAATTTTGAAGAAAAAAAAAATGTATACCTTCTTGGTGAAATTGCCCGTTGCCATGCCGACGTTGGGCAGGTGTACGATGCGTCTGTACATGGTGGATCTGATGGAGTTAACAAGGCTGGATTTCCCAGAACCAACTGGGCCCAAGAGCAGAGCCCTAACCCGCGGCAGAGTCTCCAACATCAGCTTATACGAGACAAAACTCTGTCTGAGGCTCTGCCTGGTCCTACAGCAAAAAATGACATTTTAATCATGTTAAATTTAATTTATGTTACACTATTTCAAACAATAATTTGAGACTAATATGGAAGAGAACAGACCCACTCATTTCTCAAGTCAGTTTAACACGTCTTCTTACCTTGTTAGCCTTGAGTTCAATTATACGACATGTATAATTTTAGAGTGAAAAAAGGAAAGGAGCACCATGCAAAAGTTTGGCACCCCAAAAGATTTGAGCTCTAACTTTTACTAAGGTCTCAGACCTTAATTAGCTTGTTACGGCTAAGACTTCTTCATAATCATCGTTTTAAAAACACTCTGACTCCTCAAACCTTGTTCCAACAATGTGCTCCTTTAAGCAGCTGCCTAGCACTCTGAAAATTTATATAACTGATATCCACAAAACAAGAAAAGGCTATACGAAGATAGCAAAGCGTTTTCTCAGGTCATAATGATGTAATTAAGAAATGGCAAGTACATGGAATGGTGGAGGTTAAGTTGAGGTCAGGAACACCAAAAAAACGGAGAGAACTGCTCATAGGATTGCTAAAAAGGCGAATCCAATCCCCGTTTGACTGCAAAAGGCCTTCAGGGAGATTTAGCAGACTCTGGAGTGGTCTGCTTTGCTGTGCAGCGACACCTGCACAAATATGACCTTCATGGAAGAGTCATCAGAAGAAAACCTTTCCTGCATCCTCACCACAAAATTCAGCATCAGAAGTTTGCAAAGGAACATCTAAACAAGCCTGATGCATTTTGGAAATGAGCCCTGTGGACTGGTGAAGTTAAAATATACCTTTTTGGCCACAATGATCAAAGGTATGTTAAGCACAGGGGTGGCTTGATTATGCTTTGGTCTTGTGTTGCACTCAGGGGCACAGGGAACATTTCAATGGTAGAGGAAGGAATGCGTTCAATTAAACACCAGCAAGTTCTGGAAGCAAACATCACACCATCTGATAAAAATAGTTGAAGATGAAAAGAGGATGGCTTCTACCACAGGATAATGATCCTAAACACACCTCAAAATCCACAAAGGACTACCTCAAGAGGCGCAAGCTGAAGGATTTGGCCTAGTCAGAGTCCACATTTAAACCCTATAGAGGATATTTGGTCTCACATTATACAAACCAGCTTGGCAATGTTTTTCAATTGTACTACACTAAATTACTTTATCTATTTGTATATATTTTGCTAATTTACTGACTAATTTGTTGTTAAGAATCATTAAAAGCTTAATGTTTTTCCATTTTGGGCTTGGTCCATATTTGCATACACACACACACACTGCTGTGGGTAAGAACCAATCACAATCATCTCCAAGCTTTCTTTCCTCCAGAAAGCAAAGGAAAAGCTCTGACAGAACTCCTCAGGGCAAACCTGCAGTGAGAATGTCGGTGGTAAATTAGTCAGACTGGTTAGACTAACACAAGAAGAGATGTGGTACTGAGAAACATATGATGCTTGACAAATGCTGTTCTGGTCATGGATGGTGGTGTTTTTTTTCATTCCTGAAGCAGAAAAGGTTTTAGAATAAACTATACTGAAGACCACACTTACAAGTATTGACAGGCAGAATTAAGCTGGCTCTAAGGAAGTGTAAAAGACGTCCTCAGCACCTGATGCTGCTCTGACATTCATATTCCATTGGTTCTCAAACATCTATGTCTACACTGACATTGTTTACAATCCAGTTTATTTTAAATGAAAAATATTAATAATACTATTGGTTAATGCCAATGGTGGAAGTATAACACCATTTGGTGAATAGTTTGATATCACATGTGATTTCAAGCATTCAAATGGTAGTGAAGAAAGAGCAGCCACCTCACCCGACACATTTAGAAGCCTCTGGGATAAATATACACCGATCAGGCATAACATTATCCTTGTTTCTACACTCACTGTCCATTTTATCAGCTCCACTTACTATATAGGTGCACTTTGTAGTTCTACATTTACAGACTGTAGTCCACTGTTTCTCTGCATACTTTGTTAGCCCCCTTTTACCCTGTTCTTCAGTGGTCCGGACCCCCATGGACCCTCACAGAGCAGGTACTGTTTGGGTGGTGGATCATTCTCAGCACTGCAGTAACACTGACGTGGTGGTGGTGTGTTAGTGTGTGTTGCGCTGGTCTGAGTGGATCAGACACAGCAGTGCTGCTGGAGTTTTAAAACACCTCAGTGTCACTGCTGGACTGAGAATAGTCCACCGACCAAAAATGTCCAGCCAACAGTGTCCTGTGGGCAGCGTCCTGTGACCACTGATGAAGGACTAGAGGATGACCAACACAAACTGTGCAGCAGCAGATGAGCTGTCGTCTCTGACTTTACATCTACAAGGTGGACTGACAAGGTAGGAGTGTCTAATAGAGTGGACAATGAGTGGACACAGTGTTTAAAAACTCCAGCAGCACTGCTGTGTCTGATCCACTCGTACCAGCACACACCAACACACCACCACCATGTCAGTGTTACTGCGGTGCTGAGGATGATCAACCTGTTACATCCGCATCAGGGGTGCTCAATCCTGTTCCTGGAGATCTACCATCCTGGAGAGTTCAGAGCCAACACACTGGCTCTAACATTCACTCTGAAGTGCCTTTATTACCTGGACCAGTTGTGCTAGATTAGGATAGGAGCTAAACTCTACAGGGTGGTAGGTCTCCAGGACCAGGACTGGGCACCCCTGATCTACATGTTTCATTTTCTGCCACATATTATAGTCCATTTTCATCATTTGACATTTGTGACTGGTATCACTTATTTACACAATCGACAGTGACAATCCTATTTAAATATTCAATTGTAATCACTGACTTACCCATCTGTCCAGGACACCTCCCTCCAAGGGCTGGGCAGAAAATCCCCCAGATCTAAACGAAAACAAACAAGCATCCATCTGAGCACCACTGCTCTCTGCAATGACAACAGAAGTCTTTACTTTCACTTCTGAATAAACTGACCTTGAACACGGTGCAGCTCCACATCCACGCAGCGCGCGCTCTTTTCCTCAGGCCACCTGCAGCCGTATGTCCCGTCTGCGCAGAAGTTCACATACATGACCTGGTCATCCGAGTACACGTGTAAGCACTTTCCGAAGGACACAGCCACTGGTAGGGAGGCCCCGGTCTGATACTCATACTGATATGAGCTACCAAATGAGAATCCACCGGATCCGAACCCAGACTGACCTGAATCGGTGAAGTGGACTTCGACAGCTTTGGCAGAGCGCAGCACAGGAAAGCGTTTGGCTTTCTCATTTATTTCAAACACAAAAGCCTCCTCGTCATCAAACTCCCTTCCAACGTTTAGAGATCTGCTGGTGCATCCTCCTCTGACCTCCCCCGTCTGCAGAAACACGGCAAGAACAAACTTCCCAGACGTGTCGAATCTGGAGAGCAGCGCGCTGAGCTTGGCTCCGTGGTGACTGCTCTTATAGAGGAGATGGAACCGAACAGGCTGAGAGAACAAACTCTGCAGCTTCCTCTCCTTCTCATCGTCCAGGGAAGACGCGATGGAAGCCATGTGAGGAGGTTATCTGAGAGAAGAGGACGTTCCGCACAGGAAATAAGGCGCACTTTTTATGTTTGGCACGCTTCGCTAAACGCCCTGTATTACGAGCTCGTGACTGCGCGCAGTAGAGCAGTGATGGGCGGCTCTTTTCAGTGAACCAGATCAACTGGCTCAGAATCGACTCTTTCGGCTCCCAAACGGCTCTTCATTCAGTAGCATTGCCAGTTTTTTGTTTTCGAAATGAGCCAAGTCTAAGGTACGGAGCCCCGCTGGTGACATCCTGTATAAATAAAAATAATGCGTGGCCACGACTTAGTAAAGCGTGGGAACGAGATCCTAATGCGTAGCCACGACTTAGTAAGGTGGGGGAATGAGATGATTAAGTCGTGGCCATGACTTAGTAAGGCGTGGGAACGAGATCACGGCTTACTAACTCGCGTTAGGATCTCGTTCCCATGTTTTACTATGTCCTGGCCATGACTTAATCATCTCATTCCCACCCCTTAATAAGTCATGGCCATGCATTATTTTTATTTATACAGGATGTCACCAGCAGGGGCTCCGTGCTAAGATGACATAATAGTGAATTGTTTTTAATAAGGCGTGGCCACGAAAAACTATATTGAGGCCACAAATTACTATATTAAGGTTACAAATTACTATAATGAGGCCATCATTTACTACATTTAGGCCACAAATTACTATATTGGGACCACACATTACTATATTGATGCCATAAATTACTATCATGAAGCCACAATTTACTATATTGAGGCCACAAATTATTGAGGCCACAATTTACTATATTGAGGCTATAAATTACTATATTGAGGCCACAAATTACTATATTGAGGCCACAAATCAATATATTAAGGCCATGAATTAATATACTGAGGCACACATTGTGAGAAACTTAATTGGTGAGCTCAATATATTAATTTGTGGTCTCAATATAGTATTTCATGGCCAAAATCTAGTAATTTGTGGCCTCAGTATAGTAATTTGTGGCCAAGCCTTATTAAAAATAATCACTGTGTCAGCTTTGGGGCTCCAAACAGTCAGTGATACTGTATATAATGTAATTTTCAACAAAACCTTAGTCTACTTTTACGGTTAGTAAAAAACAAAAGTTGCATTATGTTTGATATTTGAATTCTAATCTAAGTCAGACAAGTAATTTCACTGGATGGGATTTCAAGAGACCGAAAATCCATATATCCCTGATGCCAATGCATGCAGGGACATATGGATTTTCGGTCTCTTCAAATCCCATCCAGTGAAATTACTTGTCACTGGATGGGATTACTAAAAGGGAGAGACATTACTCAAAGGGAGGGACATCATGTTAGATGCAGGTTGGAGCTAAACTCTGCAGAAAGTAGATCTCCAGGACCAGAGTTAGTGACCACTGGTCTAAAATAATGCTTTACTCCTCTGTTTGCTCCTATATGCTTTACAGCGTTTATAATGTTCTATGAAATGTTGTCCTTTTAATCTAAACAGTTGGTTTATGTACGACATACAACGTCTACATGCTTGAAAGAGCAGTATTTTCTTTTCTGATGTAAAACGTCCAAACAGCTGATTCAAAGAGCCGATTCAAATAGCCGACTCATTCGCAAACGACACATGGTTACAGGCGGAGACGAAGGGGAAACGAAACTTAACCAGCAGCCACGCCCCCCTCAATTGTAGATAGTATATTTTTTTGGCAACGCACATCGGATAGATAAACAAACACACAGACAGACGTTCAAAGGTTTGGACTCACTTATTAAATGAATCGTTTTGCCACGTGTCTATAATCAGTGATATGGATATGCAGTGGTGTAATCCTCAGAAACGAAGTGAGTGTACCTTGAATCTACGCCGGCCCAGCACACACAGTCAACAAATACACTTACGCACCGATCAGGCATAACATTATGACCACCTCCTTGTTTCTACGCTCATTGTCCATTTTATTGTCCACTTACTATATAGGTGCACTTTGTAGTTCTACAGTTACAGACTGTAGTCCATCTGTTTCTCTGTATACTTTGTTAGCCTCCTTTTACCCTGTTCTTCAGTGGTCAGGACCCCCATGGACCCTCACAGAGCAGGTACTATTTGGGTGGTGGGTCATTCTCAGCACAGTCGGCAGCGTCCGGTGACCACTGATGAAGGACTAGAGGATGACCAACACAAACTGTGCAGCAGCAGATGAGCTATTGTCTCTGACTTTACATCTACAAGGTGGACTGACAAGGAAGGAGTGTCTAATAGAGTGGACAGTGAGTGGACACAGTGCAGCACAGCTGTGTCTGATCCACTCAGACCAGCACAACACACACTAGCACACCACCACCACGTCAGTGTCACTGCAGTGATGAGAATGATCCACCACCCAAATAGTACCTGCTCTGTGAGGGTCCATGGGGGTCCTGACCACTGAAGAACAGGGTAAAAGGGGGCTAACAAAGTATACAGAGAAACAGATGGACTACAGTCTGTAACTGTAGAACTACAAAGTGCACCTATATAGTAAGTGGAGCTGATAAAATGGACAATGAGCGCAGAAACAAGGGTCATAATGTTATGCCTGATCGGTGTATACTATTTAGCATCACTGGACATTTGGACTCCCACAATAGGGAAATTTCACCTCCACATTCTAACCCATCCGTGCAGTGAAACACCACATACACACTAGTGAAGACACACACTAGGGGGCAGTGAGCACACTTGCCCAGAGTGGTGGGCAGCCCTATCTGCAGCACCCGGGGAGCAGTTGGGGGTTAGGCGCCTTGCTCAAGGGCACCTCAGTCACGTCCTGTTGGCTCAGGGGATCGAGCCGGCGACCTTCCGGTTGCAAGGCAGGTTCCCTAACCTCCAGCCCACGACTGCCCCCAATGTAAGGGATTTTGAAAAATGACCATGTTTATAATCACCAAAATAACAAGACAGAAAGCAAGCATTGAACCTTTTCTTTGTTTACTGTATGTACAGTTGCAGGAAAGAGTTTCTGAACTCTTGAACTTGGACCTCTGCATGAACAGCTCCTAAAACTTGAAATCGATACATTAAATTGTCACTGGTGTTGATTTGTTATGATACAATGTTCTTTTTACAGAAATATTGTCTGTATTAAGAGTATCTTACATGAAATAACATAATTTTTTTTTTATTTTAGTAGTTCAATTTCAGCGTTTATTGTGCAGCAATTGAATCTTTTTTAATAAAACAGTATAAGGAGGCATGAAAAAATATATAAGTGTCATCTATATTTTTGTATTTTTAGTGCATGTGTATAAGGAGCTTTGGTAATGTGATTATTCAAATTGAATTTCTTCAATAAATACAGTCATGTTAAGTTTAAATGGGAAAAATAAATACATTTATTACAAAAGGAAAGCCTCATTAAGAGGTAACACCGGTGACAAACTGACTAAAACATTGCACTTTACATATATTTTACATATATGTTTGGAATTAAGCATTTTGCATATCTAATAATAGGAGATGATAATGGACTTATTAAGGTTGTTTAGTTTTGGCATGAAAGAAATTGATTTAAAAAAAAAAGTATCCTCCTGCATTCCCAGTCCAAAGGAGAATGACCCATATGGACTCATCTTAAAATATATTTATTTTCATTATTATTATTACGCTGCTGCACTGACTTATCTAGTCCAGCAGAGGGCGCTCAGCGCTCAGTCTAGTAAAAGAGGAAGCGCGGTGTTGTGCGGCTGTGAAATTGTTCCCTACAAAGCTGTTATTAACGGAGCTTTTGAAAGCTTCTCTTAATTCGTGCGGTTTTTCTACATATCCCTCAGTAAGGCCGGACTGCGGAGAGGCTAGCGGTTTAAGCGGACACTCTTAGGCAGCCTGCATGTACCTGTTTCAGGCAAGTTCACGGACAACAACTGTGGGTCTTCCTTCCGTCCACAGTGCCGGTTGACGGACAGCACTGAGGCTGGTCAGCTCGTCCAGGTCGCGTCTTCTCCTGTTTAAGCGGTGTTTACATTAGTTTATTAGTGTACTGGTCAGAGCAGTGACCCAACGCGGTCTAACTCAGTGGATTAGCTGAATGTGTTACTTGTTATTCTTCACGTTAACTTGAGCTCGTTTACACTTCCTCCCTGAAGGCTGCTTATCTCGTCTTTATGAATTATTATCTTTAATTATTAGTGTTTAGTCAGTAATATTGCTCTCGAGCTCGTGTGTGACCCAGTGCTGTAATCCTAAGCTACACGAAGACACTTCAGTCCTTTAGTTCAGAGCTACTGGCTCTTGTGCCCTTTGCCCCAGATTTCTCCATTGAAAGGAAGACAGAGAGAGAGGGAGGGAGAGAGAGAGAGAGAGAGAGAGAGAGAGGGCTGGCTGGACAGAGAGACCTAGCTCAGTGCCAGCCTTCTCCTCCCAGAGGTGGGAAAAAATTCCCAAACCCTGCCTGTTTGTTCCTCCATTTCGAACCCGACCCGTGTGGAAGGCATGCTGCTGTCTCTGCTGTCCCCCTCCGAGCTGTGGACAGGCTGTCTGGACTACATCTCCAGGCCCTGCACGCTGCTCCTCAGCCTGGTCACTGCCTCGCTGTTCTGCCTGTGGGGTCGTGAGGGGCAGGTCAGTGGGGTCACTTGGGGCTTTCTTTGTTTTTAAGGCTGTTCTCTAGGTTCTCTAGAGCACCTGGCGCTCATAGCTGTGACGGGTGGTGTGTGTTTGTGAACTGTTAGCTTTGTTTTTCGTAGAACGTGCTGTTCTCAGTCTGTTGGGGTCTTTTTTTTTCTTTTCTTTTCTTCTGTTATTTTGTGTCGTAGTACCAGCTGTGCCAGCTAGTTAGCTTTCAGTCGGCATAGTAGCATGACCTTAGTGTACCTTCCTCTTTTCATTCATTCATTCATTCATTCATTCATTCATTTCTCTTCTTTTGGTTCGGCTTGGTCTCTCGGGATCAAGACTAGACTTTGAGGTTTGTAATTCTTGTTTCTGGGTCTCTTGGTCAGGACTTAGACCTCCATTCTGTCCTTTTGACTGTCACCTTTTCTGATATTGATGAAGTTTTAGCTGATTCTGAACTGAGTTTTTGTTTTCTTGAAAAACTGCTAAGCTTTAAAATGAGCTTTAAAACTTTCAGTCGAGTCTTTTAATCAAGAACTCTTAAAACAGATGGTTCTTCAAGGGTTCTTTGGTAAAGAAAATGGTTCTATATAGAGCCATGAACATTCAGAGAACGCTTTGTAGAGATTGATGGAGAATGTGCAGTAGAAAAAGTTGAAAAGAGTTCTATATAAAACTATACAAAAGGGTTCTTTTATTGTGACAGTGTCAAGCTTGTACCAGCAGAAGAACCATTTTGGGTGCTATGTAGAACTCCTTCCAAAAAGGTTCTATATAGAGCCATATACAGCACATTTTCAATCAATCTGAAGAACCGTTTCATTTTCAAGTTTTTAAAGTGTTCACGGTTCTTTATGGAACCATTTTCTTTACTAAAGAACCCTTGAAGAACCATCTTTTTTTAACAGTGCATGATAAAGGGTTCTTTGCATGGTGAAATTGTTCTTTAGATGGAGAATGTGTTGTATATGGTTCTATATGGAACCTGTTTGGAAAGGGTTCTATATAACACCAAAAAGAGTTCTTCTATAGTTCTGATATCAACCTTGTGAAAAGAAGAACTGTTTTTGGTGCTGTATAGAACAATTTTCCAAAAGGTTCTATATAGAACCATGTACAGCACATTCTCCATCAATCTGAAGAATCCTTTTACTTTGCGAAGAACCATTCTTTGAGTGTTCGTGGCTCTATATAGAACCATTTTCTTTACTAAAGAACCCTTGAAGAACCATATTTTTTAAGAGTGTAGGATCACAGCTAGTCCTTGAGTTTTGTAATTCGTTCAGTCTGTTGGCCACAGCCTCTTGGTCAAGTCTTAAATCTCTGTTGTCCTTTTGAATGTCCTGTTGTCTTGTAGCGCCGGCCAGCCACTTCTGAATTTCTGGCTTGGTTGAAGTGGCCGAGGTCCCACTGCTTTGCTGCCTCATAGCTTGCTTGAAATGCAGGTGTTTTCCCTTAGTAACTGTAGTTAGTGACTCTCTCTCTTCTTTCTCTGCCGTCTGTCTTTTGTCTGTCTGTCTGTCTGTCTGTCTGTCTGTCTGTCTCTCTCTCTGTATCTCAGGTTCCTCTGTTGGTGTGCAGCGATGGCTTCCGGGCGTTTCTGCAGAGACACTGTCCCATCGTGACGGAGCGTTTCTGTCCCACTCCCTGGTGCTGGGGTGGACGCCTGCAGACGCTTGTGAGGGTGTTCATCAAGTCCAGCCTTTCCATCACTTACCGCAAGTACGAGCTTTGGAGACGGTTCTTTTTCTGCTTGGAAAAGTGCAAATTGTCTCAGAAAAAATGCACTGAATTTCTTGTCCTTTGCTGTTTTAAGTTACATGGATATTTATTCCAAAATCATTAAATTATAAATCAACACAACTATTACTACAGTAGATAAAAAGGTAGTATTTGAGCTGATATGATTATGACTCAGTTTTATAAATGTGATATTTAGTTTTAGCTTTGGGAATTTTACCAAACAGTTGGTCAAAATAAATGAGCAGTGTAGTGTGTGGTGGTGATGAGGAAAATATGATAATGCATAGTGGGCTACAAACCAATCAGCTGCTAGTTACTATGCAGTTACTACACACTGGTGGTGGTGGTGTTTACAGGCTCTCTATAACTGCTCTAAATCTGTCTTTTTATGATTTCTAGCTGTTTAGTGTTCTAGAATAAAGCAATGTTCTGGAATGAAGCAGTGTAGTACAATAAGCCAGTGTTCTAGAATAAAACAGTTTCTAGAATATAGCTAGAATAAAACAGTTTTGTACAATAAGCCAGTGTTCTAGAATGAAGCAGTGTTGTACAATAAGCCAGTGTTGTAGAATGAAGCAGTGTAGTACAATAAGCGAGGGTTCTAGAATAAAGCAGTTTCTAGAATATAGCTAGAATAAAACAGTTTTGTACAATAAGCCAGTGTTCTAGAACAAAGCAGTCTCTAGAATACAGCTAGAATAAAACAGTTTTGTACAATAAGCCAGTGTTCTAGAATGAGGCAGTGTTGTACAATAAACCACTGTTCTAGAATGGAGCAGTGTTCTAGAAGTACTGACGGTACCCTGTGACATACCAATGAAATTTTTGCCAACCAGGCAGCTTTTTTCATCATATTGATGAATAGGCAACACCAAGACCTGCTGAAGTCATTGAATGTCATTTATCTCCCTTACTTTTCTATCTGGTTTCATATGAAATGTTCATTTTCTGTATTTCTAAGCAGTAATTAATAAATTAGCACTGCGTTTGGGTGATTAAAACCTCTCTCTCTCTCAGTGAGCTGATCAGGACAGGAGATGGTGGTCAGCTCTCACTGGACTGGGTGGATAACTCCAACAGTGCCGAACACCCACAAACCTCCGCTCGGCCCACAGTGCTCCTCCTGCCCGGTCTGACCGGAAACAGCCGACAGACATACGTCTTGCGCGCAGTCCAGCAAGCCACACGCCACGGATACAGGTGTGTGTGGGTGTGTGAGAGTGTGTCCTACCTGCACTAGGTCACATAAGCTAATTGATCATTCAGAAATAGATTGAAATGTTAGTTACAATCCAAAAACACAGTGTCTCTTATGGACTGTTCCAGGTGTGTGGTGATGAATAACAGAGGTTTTGGAGGAGAGGAGCTGCTGGTGAGGACGGTTTCATGATGTTTTTGTTTGTGTCTCTGCTTTGTTCTCTGAAGATTTGAGCTTTTTGTTGTTCTGTTTTTGCTGAATGTACATGGTTTATCAGTAATTTTTTGGGGATAAAAATCCAGCAGCGACACTGAGGTGTTTAAAAACTCCAGCAGCACTGCTGTGTCTGATCCACTCGTACCAGCACAACACACCACCACCACGTCAGTGTTACTGCCGTGCTGATAATGATCCACCCCCCAAATAATACCTGCTCTGTGGGGGTCCTGACTGTTGAAGAACAGGGTGAACAAAGTATGCAGAGAAACAGATGGACTACAGTCTGTAATTGTTGAACTACAAAGTGCTCCTATATGGTCAGTGGAGCTGATAAAATGGACAGTGAGTGTAGAAACAATGTTATGGCTGGTCAGTCTATACTGCGTGTACTCTTTTCATTTAATCGTTCAGACTGATTCAGATTACTCAGCTCAGACCGCTGACGTTTTCTACTGTAAGTGATGTTGAAATATTCCCACGTCATGGACAAAGAAGGCTGGTGACTCATTAAATGTCAGAAATGTGTTGTGAGGTGAACTTGACTCACTTCCTCCTCCTAACCTTTTCCCTTTTTTATTTCTCTCTCTCTTAACCCCGCCCTGTCAGACTCCTCTCACGTTCTGTGCTGCTGACACTTCAGACGTAGAGACAGTCGTCAATCACATCAAAAAACTCTACCCACAAGCCCCTCTGCTCGGAGCTGGTGTGTCTCTCGGAGGGTAAGGAACCAACACACACCCAGTCAGGTCCCTCTGTACACAGTACACACACATACCTGAACTCTTAAAGGGCCCGGATTCCACATTTTCTTTCTTTTCTGTTCTTCTCTTTTCTTTTTTTCCTCTTCTTTTTTCTTTTCTTTTTTCTTTTATTTTCCTAAAGCATACTGAGAGTGTATGATCATAGTTCATTTTTATATGATCATTTTCCAACCTCTCTTTACCCCTCAGAATTAAAGGGGAATTCCACAGATTTCTCAATTTCTGCATAATTGACATTTCAACAAATCCGAGATTGCAGAGAAACGTACTTACTTGGCATTTTATTCAACCTTTATTTGTCTTCTGAGTTTTAACAATGATGACAAAATAGTGGTTAATATTATAAAATATAGTTTTAGGTACTATTTGTACTTTCTTACTTGTGCTTTGTATGCTTTCTTAATTTTTAGGCCAAAAGCCTATTGCAAAACAGTTATAAAGCAGTCTCTCAGGCACATTGCTGACCATGCTACTCAATAACTTTCTGTAAGGGATCTTTTAGAGGCATTAAAATGATCAGACATCTGGTTCCTTCCACTACCACTATGAACAGCACTAATTTTCTGTAGAACGGACCATTTCAGATCCACTGAGAATGACAAAAAAAATGAATGGAATTCCCCTTTAAACAGGCTGAGTCTTACAAGCTGATATTGTTTTGTAATGACCTCTGCTCTAATCTGGCTGAAACGTTCTTGTTGTTGCAGCATGCTGTTGCTGAATTATCTGGCCCGTAAAGGGCAGGACTCTAAGATGATCGCCGGTCTCACCCTCTCTGTCTGCTGGGACTCGTTTGAATCCTCCGTATCCCTGGAGCAGCCAGTCAACAAGCTGCTTTTCAATCGCCATCTTACCAGCAACTTATGCAATGCCATTAACAGGTTAATCCCACCCACTCAGTCTGACGTCATCATATCAGCTACTTTTAATATGTTTGTTACTTTCTATGCAAGTTTTTCACTGGTTATATAATAAGTTAAGTTTCATTTTTGATTTTAGTGACTAGTTCATAGATTCATTTTAATCCAGAAAAGCCTTATCAGATCAGCTTTAAAGGAGAATTCCACCAGTTTTTCAAAAATTCTGCATCGTGGAGGTGTAAACAGTGTCGTTTAGAGTGGTTTGGTGTGAAATAGTTTATTGTAGAGGTCAATTTAATTAAATTTACCAAACTGGATTTATTACAGTGGTGGTGATAGGAACCAGAGGTCACAAATATAGCCATTTTATTTACTGTCTAAAACCATTTGTATGTAATGTTGATGATGATGGTAAAATAGTGGTAAATATTTAACGAATATATATTTTCCTACTTCCTTCCTTACAACACCCTTCGTGCACCTCTGCCCTGCACGTATTTGAACCCAACATCTTTTCTTACAACTGTTGTCATACACAGTGTCTTAGGCGTCAGGCAGGACATTCATAACCATTTAATGTCATCACTTTCTGTGAGGGAGCTTTTAGAGACGTTAAACTCTTCTGACGTCTGGTTCCTATCACCACCATTGTGAACAATTCTGACTCTGTAGGTTTCTCTAGAATGGAGCATTTCACACCAAACCACTCTGAATGTCCTTTTTCCCATCTTTTAAAAAGCCAGGCATGTTTGTGTGTTTGTGTGAACAGCTTCACTGGAACTTTGCTTTTGTCGCACTTTGCTCTCTCCTCAGACACAGAAAGATCCTGGAGAAGGTGATAGATGTGGACTACGTGCTGAAGGTATTTACTATCCTCTAGAATGATATACTTGTGGTGTTATATCTATATTCACCATACCTGTATCATTCCACTGTTGCTAACCAACAACGATATTTTTATTTTTGCTTTTTTGACTGTACAAAATGGTTGTTTTTTAAGAGATTTATTATCACACATATATACGTAATATTGCCTAATGAATAATAAAACACCTAATAAAAAACACTTAATAAAATACTTTCACCCTCCCAGTGTGTTGGGGGGAGGCCTTGCTAGAAGGAGACTAAATTGTTGTTGCGGGGGGAATCAGTGCCACTGTTTTTTCAACTTCCTATAAAGAGATATCAACCCTGTCCCCGCTCTTTTTCTCTCTCCAGGCGCGAACGATCCGGGAATTTGATGAGCGCTTCACTTCTGTGATGTTTGGCTACAAGTCCTGCGCTGATTATTACAGAGATGCCAGTCCGGGGTCCAAACTGCAGAAGACTGCCATACCTGTGCTCTGTTTAAACGCTGCTGACGACCCCTTCTCCCCTAAACACGGTGAGACAAGACAAAAGAGAGAGACTTATATTATAAACTCAGGTAGTTGCTCTCTCAACTTTACTTTCTCTTTAAATCAGGAGTGCAAAACATACAGCCTGATAGTTTTGGTCTGGCCTTTAGGCTGATGAGTCACATATTGAGTTAAAAACTCCTTATTGCTGATTTACCTGCTGGCTCTCCTTATCTGGCTTCCATCAGCTGTGTTTACATGCAAAATTTTTGCCTGTCCAATTGAATACATTCTGATTATAGATTAAGACTGAGGTCTTTATGCTCACTCAACTTAACAATATAATGAAAAATGTCTGTTAACATGCTCACTACAAGTAATCAGATCCAAAAGAGTAGAGTACCACTTAGTGTAGACGTTACCATGACAGCCAGCATCACGTGAGTCCAGTCAGAGTGGGATGAGCAGCAGTGAGCAGTGCTTGTGTTTTTAATTACTTTAAAATGATGTCAGACTCAGGAAAACGTCCTTACTAAAGAACGCCGAGAGGACAACGTCGTGTTCTGAGACACATAAGCTGGACGTCCGTCCCAACGGCGTCTTTTAAAGACCAGAGCATAAACTTCGTCTCCTCTGCAGACCAGTTTCTGCTCCGCCATGTTGAACGTTATAAACTCTCACTATGACGTGACGCACATGATCAGAACGAACTTAAACTTTCCGATAGGGAATGTAATCAGATACAGGCGTTTACACGGATATTATTCTTCTATTTAACGTATTATTTATAGGATTACCCACCTCGTTCAATCAGATAGAGATTGCATTCCGAATAGCCTTAAGCGCTCTAGTCTACTCTGATTGAGGTGTTTACATGGACGTATTCTATTCCGATTGAGCTGTTAGTCAGATTGTTAACAAATTATCAAGCTGCATGTAAACATGGCTGTTGACTCCTAGATGCAGTTACCAGTTCATCCACTAGAGGCAGTCTAAATCTCTCTCTCTCCACAGCATTCCCCGTATCCCTCGCTCAGCGTTTGCCGAACGTGGCTCTGTTGGTGACGGCTCATGGAGGACACATCGGCTTCCTGGAGGGCCTGTTTCCTAACGGTGATGGCTACATGGACCGCCTGTTGGGACAGTTCGTCCACGCTGCTTTCGAGCACCTGGAGGACCTGAGAGAGGCCTGCAGCATCGAGGACCAGGTCACACAGTAACAGAAACATCGTTATGTTATAGGTTAAGCAATACGATCACCACTGACCTCTTTACATTAGGTGACAAGTAGGCAAGAAATGATTCAAACTAATTTATCAACATATTAAATAATAAAAATAATATGTTCATTTTTGGTTAGATTTTTCCTTCATGTCTGAGGAACAACTGAGGCAGAGTGGAAATATTTTTTGTAGGTGAAATTCCCCTATAAGATAATGATTATCAATAAGTAGTATTAATGTTAATGCTAATTATCTAGCATGGCAGGTAAACTAGATATTAAGTAACTCAATTGGCAATCACGTTTTTATACCCCTCTTCGGTAAACAGGCCATGTGAAGATTTCTTATTCATCATTTCATCATCAGTTTTTATTATTATTATTATTATGAATGACCTCTCATTGATGGTGTGTTAACGCAATGCCAATAATTTATGAATCAGTAACTGAAACTATATGACCAGCAACTTTATTACCTGGAGAAACTTGATAGAAAGCACAAGTTTTGAATATTTGTTTTTGAATGTGAATGAATGTGATTATGATAAGGCATTAAGTATATCACTCTGGTGTTTTTGTTGTTTGCTGAATTGTGAAAAAATGGAGTTTAAAAATGTAAATTATTTTATCATGTTATTAATAACATGTAAAATGCAGAACAAATCAGTGTTCATTCAGTTCTAGTGTATTTTGCTTATGTACCGTACATTGTGGTTCTATGATAATCTGCCATCGATCCATGCTTTTTTTTATAAAAGCAAAAATGTCTAAAATCAGTATTTTATATAATATTTATATTGAAGATTCTTGTTTTACTCGAATGATTTTATTTTTTGGAAACATTTGAAAATGTTTAGCATTTTGGTTTTCTAATGCATGAATTTCCAAATATGTTAACTCTCACAGAGAAAACAGTGTTGTTAAAAAGTGAGAAAAAAACTTTGGGACACATTCTTAATGCACTACATGGCCAAAAGTATGTGTACAACATCACGTACGTATGAGTTTGTTTAGTATACGGTTCCAAAACTATAGTCATTTATATAGAGTTGCCATTTTTGCTCCCATTCAGCCACGAGAGCATTAGTGAGGTTGGGCACTGGTGTTTTTTTGAGAAGGCCTGGCTCTCAGCTGGCATTCCAGTTCATCCCAAAGCTTTTGGGTAGAGTTTAGGTCAGGGCTTTGTGAAGACAAGCCAAGTTGTACCACTCCAGACTTGGCAGTTTCCTTCTTATAGAACCCATTTTGTGCAGGTGGGTCCCAAAAATCGTCCCAACAGTTCCCAAACTGCTGCAGTGGGGCCCATTATTCCTCCTCCGCCAAACTTTACAGCTGGCACTATGCATTCAGTCAGGTAGGATTCTGCCAAACCCTGATTAGTCTGTCAGTCCACCATGTGGTAAAGTTTGATTCATGACTGCAGATAATACATTTAGCATGACTGTGTGCTTTACGCGGTTCCAGCTGATGCTTGGCATTGCTGATGTTCCACCCAGAGGCAGTTTGGAACTAAGTAAGGAGTTCTGTAACTAAGGACAGATGATTTTTATGTGCTTCTCGCTCTGTGAGTTTGTGTGGCCTTTCTCTTCATAACTGAGCTGTTCTTGCTTCTAGATGTTTTCATATCACAATCACAGCACTTACAGTTGACCAGGGCAGCTCTAGCAAGGCAGAGGTTTGATGCTTTGTTGGAATAGTAGCATCCTATAATAGTGCCACATTAAACGTGACTGCTCTTCAATAACACCCATTCTATTGTCAGTGTTTGTCTATGGAGACTGCATGGCTGTGTTCTTGGCTTTACACACCCGAACACACTAATTAGAAGGGCTGTCCACATACTTTTGGCCATTTACTCTGTAAAATGAACATTTTAAATGACGACTACTCCAGTGCCTTATGAATTGATGTTTACTTGCCTGTGTAAGCTCATGCTTGCATTGTACTGACCTCCACAAATGTGTGCTATTCTGTTATATACAGTTGTATGCAAAAGTTTGGGCGCCCCTGGTCAAACGAGGTTTCGCTGATTTTCTAATTAAAATAAGTGAACACATCCTCTACTGAGAACACACTTCAGCACATTTTAATGTACAGTTACTGCACACTTGTGGATTTTACCATATTGGAAAAAGTAAAACAAAATATAACCTGTGCAAAAGTTACAGCACATTTTATGTGCTGCAAAATTTGCAGAAAAATGTCATATTTACGTTTGTTCCCTGCAGAGGAAGTGCTAACGTATAAACATTGACCAGAGGGGTTTAAATGTTTACATACAACTATAACATTTATTATGCCTGTGCCTTGTTTTTGTAAAGGGTCCAAAGCATGTAAAGGTCATATAACGGTCATAGCACCATTGTGAAGGCAAACATGAATGTGAAGCACTTAATTGTACACAAACGTCAAACGTCAACCTTCCCCTGTTTTTGTAAAGCTTAATTGGGGCTGACCAAGAGTTCACTTTAAGCTTTTGGGCTGCTTTTTCAGACCCAGATTAAGTGTACGCCCGAAACATAGAGGGTTTCCAATGGTGATTCATCATTGAAATGAAAGTTTTAGTCCGAGATTAGGCTCTTAATCCATGTGTAGGACATTGCCACTATTTATTTTTATTTAAGTGCCACTTTTTCAGAGTGAAGTAGGCCTGGGTGATATCAAAAAACAATTAGCACGATATTTTCTAGTTAAAGAATTGCGATTATCCCCTCTCCCCCACGAACCAATGCATGCAGTCCAATGTAGCTTTTGATAATCTTTAATGAAAACATATATTAAATAGTATAATACTGAGAAACCCAACATCCTCAGATAACTACTTTACCTGTCGTTTAATAGATGTTACTGTGTTACTGCAAACACGTGCATTCCTGAGCTGCTTCTGGTGTAGGTTCATGGTGATGTGCATGCTAGTAGAGCTCCCAGCTGGAGAAACTTCAGGCTGCAGGCGATTTCCAAAACCATTTACAGCAGCATTACATTCTCACAATTTTAATAATTATACATATAAAACAATTTAACATAAGTTTAAATATTAAAATAAAAATGCATTGCTACCCCTATCTGATCGTGGTTTTTTGGCCATAGACGGGGATCAGAGGAACCTTCTCTACTTCTAAAAGTTCTAGGGCTGGAGCTAACTTGACTGCTATAGGATAATACCCAGTCATTTTTGCTTGGTTGTTTCAGTGAGTCACACTGAAATGAGCTGAAGTTCTAATGTCAGTATATATTTTCGGTTCCATGCACTCAAGCTAAACTTAATGTAAAGGGTACTGCTAGCATTACAGTGTGCAACAGTGGAGAACTAACAAACTTCTCTCTCTCCTAAATAAAAGACGATTAGGTCACCTGCACATTGCTTGAAGGAACATGAAGCCCAATTTCCCAATATATTTAGCTAGCTGTTTAATCAGATTAGTCCTCTGTAGTTCTCTGTATGTTCCCCAGCATTGCCTTTTATGAGTCGCCATCGAGTTTCTTGTGAATCATCGACGATATCCGATTACCTTATCGCCCAGGCCTGGTATACAGCATACACATATCACACATTTAAGTTCAACAACATGTGGAAAGAAGCTGAAATGGTCTACTCTTTGCTTGCCCCTGAGTCAGTTATAGTATGTGTGAATGACAGCGTCGTTCGTAGACCGGTGCAGGAAAAAGTGCTGAGCTCAGATCACTCACACGACAGTGAAGGGCCAAAACTCTACGCACAAAAACATAACTAACTTTCTGTTAATGCACTCTTCCTGATGTTTTTCTTTTCTGAGTAGTCTGTGAACATTGACCACCTACTTTGAAACACTGATACATAGAATTTGATACACTTTTTTAGTGTATATAACGGAGTGTTGACATAAGTCTGCCTTATGCCTGGCCCACACTACAGGATTTAAAAAATCTTGACCGATGTTGAAAACGTGAGAGACCCCACGCATAATGACTGCCTTAAATAAAACACCACACACTTTCAGATTATGAACAAGAAAACAGTCCCGACTGATGGTTCAGATTCACAGAACCTTGTGGAAGTTTCTCCTGAACTGCTGCTTTGCAGGGTTTCTCGCAAACTAATGTGACTTTAGATCTAATCAAACATGGCAGATGACAGCGAGGCTGGTGCTATGCTGGTGATGTTTCTTTCTGAATGGAAAAAACCAAGCGGAAGAAAAAAATATGGATGAAGACGATCTTTCAGGCATGACGTCGACATTTCATTTCACACCAGAGAATCGGCGTCCACCCCACACTATAGGATACCGAGCTGTAAATGTTGAATGTGTTTAATATTTATGATTTGCAGTTGGGCGGCCCTGACTAGACTTGGAGCAGATCGGAGGAGTAAAGGTTGGATCATAGACACCCCACACGACAGGATAATCTGGGAAGAGCATCGTTTAAGATCTCCCTCACATCGAGAGGCCTTTTGCGATTGTCCTGAGGAGCAAATCGGCCTCAAAATCGGCCCGATTACCCTGTAGCGTGGGCCAGGCATTAGTCCATTCTTTGACATACTTTGTTGTTCTGAATTGTATATTGTTTACTCACCATGATGCACTGAACTGTAATAATTAAGCATCAATAAAGTGCTTAAACCACTTATTCCACTGCCTCTTTTCTTACACTAAAGCAGTTGTGTGGAAGGAGCATCTCAAGCACAGATTGTTTGGTTGGACGTGTGAATTTCCTTATAATGATCACAGAGTACAAACTTATGGGTACAGTCTGATATAACAGGTTTTATGACTTGTAACCACAGCAGAACCCTTTTTTGGTTGTTTATAGAACCATTTTAAAGGGGCATTCAGGCCTAGTTTGAAAGGGGAATCTCACTGATTTTTCAAAATTTCTGCACATTCAATCACTGAGGTGGAAACAGTCAGTCAGAGTGGTTTGATGTGAAATGGTTCATTGCAGAGAAACTTACAGACTCTAATTTCTTTCCAGTGGTTGCTGGAACTAAGGCTTGCGATGTCTGCAACACAAATATTGCCATTTTATTTACTGTCCAAAACCACCACATCATCTAATCTTTTACATTAAATGTTAATGATGATAAAATAGTGGTAAATCTTAAAAATCTGTTTTCTTTGGCAGCTGTATAGCCTTATAATGGCTTGCATGTACCTATCCACCATAAATGAATGAATGAATTTTTTAATTAATTCAGACAAACAATTGTAAAACAATGTCTCGAATGTCAGGCAGTGTGTTTGTATCAGTTTTGTGTAGTAGCTTTCTGTGAAGGAGCTCAGAGGCATTCAAGGCTTTGGATGTCTGGTTCCTATCACCACCACTGTGAACAATTCTGTACTTTGTATGTTTCTCTAAAACAGAATTTCACAACAAACACCTGTAAATGACGTTGTTTACATCGGAAACATTTAATTATGTAGAAGTTTTGAGAAAAAAAAACAACAACATGAAACTCCCCTTTAAATGCTTCAGACGTCTGGTTCCTATCACCACCACTGTGAACAATTCCGGCTCTGTATGCTTCTCTAAAACAGAATTTCACATCAAACCACTGTGAATGATTTTGTTTACATCATTAACATTTCATTTTGAAAAAACATGGAATTCCTCTAAACATCTGGTTCCTATCACCACCACTGTGAACAATTCTGACTGTATGCTTATATTTCATAAAATCTTTTGTAATTCCCCTGTTATTTGTTATGTAGTACAATGTAGTTCAGAATTGCATCTCTCAGGCGTATCAGCTTGACACAATTCCTACATTTTTATGCAAAATTTCTATTTATTTCCTGAGTGTAACGTACAAAGAATGGAAAAAGACGTGTAAAATATATAATGTGCCATAACTTTTGTCGTTGTCCCCCCCAATATGTTAAAATGTATTAAATAAGCATTAACTGTGCATTAAAATGTGCAGAAATGTGTAGAGAAACATTCTCATTTCGACATATTCTGAAAATATTCTCACATAATTGGACAAGTGGTGCCCAAACCTTTACAGTAACGTCAGGTCTCTGGCTTCCTCCTATATTATATATGTTTTCCTCCTATGAAATTTCAAACAGCCTGCCCTCAAGTACCTACCCCAAAGTGCTTTTAGTTCTTAGAAGCTCCTCCCACCTTCAAGGTACATCATCAGAGGGGGGTTTCCTAGTCTTTATACCAAACAGTCTCACTCTAAAGGCTACTGTAGCTCCATTGTAGGCATATTTACAACAGATGTAGGGATTGTTACATTTTTTGGTTTTGGTCAGACTGTCCTTTAAACAACCATCTACAACAGATGATCCAAATTGAAGACCATTTTAATATTCAAATGGCCCATAATGGTGCATAACCACTGCTTATTTTTAAAGGCCCCTTGAAAAAACCCTTTTTTAGAACTCGCTAATTTCTTGCCTCTGTATATCTGCACAAATCTGGGGTTGAATTGAGTAGGCATTGAAAGTTTCCCATTCTGATGCAAAGTCACGGCCCAACAGCTCAGTCATACCCTCTGCTGGTAATCATTACCACACTTACAGTCACTGAACTTGGATGATTATCCAGACAGCCAGACAGAGGAGGAATAAAGCAGATTTTTACTTTCTGAAACACTAAAATGGATTGTTCTTGTTCTACAATCTGGTTGGCTGAGCCTTATAGCCAGTATAAAATACTCCGTATATGCCCATACACTTTACATCCATAAGCCTGGGTTCACCTGCTCGTCCAGCGCAGTACACTCAGTGTTAGAACATTGCTGTGAGGATTTGATTGCATTCAGCCACAAGAGCATTTATGATGTTGGATCAGTTCTGGATCACTCCTACCCATCCCAGAGATATTGGATAGAGATCCATCACTCCAAAGAACACAGTTCTACTGCTTGACAGCTCAGCGCAGGGGGGCTTTATACCCCTCACGGCATTGGGTATTGTGATGTGTGCTCCAGACCTTCCCACTATATACTGTTAACTAACTACACAGCTACATTACACAAAAAAGATGGTTCTTCAAGGGTTCTTTAGTAAAGGGAATGGTTCCATTTAGAACCATTTTATGCTTAAGTGGATCTTTGCACAGTGAAATGGTTCTTCAGATTGATGGAGAATGCAATGTATGTGGATTTACACCGATCATTGTCCATTTTATCAGCTCCACTTACTATATAGGTGCACTTTGTAGTTCTACAGTTACAGACTGTAGTCCATCTGTTTCTCTGCATACTTTGTTAGCCCCTTTTTACCCTGTTCTTCAGTGGTCAGGACCTTCATGGACCCTCACAGAGCAGGTACTATTTGGGTGGTGGATCATTCTCAGCACGGCAGTGACACTGATGTGGTGGTGGTGTGTTAGTGTGTGTCGTGCTGGTACGAGTAGATCAGACACAGCAGTGCTGCTGGAGTTTTTAAACACTGTGTCCACTCACTGTCCACTCTATTAGACACTCCTACCTTGTCAGTCCACCTTGTAGATGTAAAGTCAGAGACGATAGCTCATCTGCTGCTGCACAGTTTGTGTTGGTCATCCTCTAGTCCTTCATCAGTGGTCACCGGACGCTGCCCACAGGACGCTGTTGGCTGGATATTTTTGGTTGGTGAACTATTCTCAGTCCAGTAGTGATACTGAGGTATTTAAAAACTCCAGCAGCACTGCTGTGTCTGATCCACTCGTACCAGCGCAACACACACTAACACACCACAACCACGTCAGTGTTACTGCAGTGCAGAGAATGATCCACCACGCTGTTAACGCTGATCAATGGCGCATGTGCAGTGGAAAAAAAGCATATGAATTCCGATCTGAGCATCACATTAAGGTTGCATGGCCACGAATCGGATACGTATCCGATCTAGGACCGCATCTGAAAGTGGCTTAGGTCGGATTTAAATAGATCAGATTTGCATGTTCACACAGCCCCAAAAACAAAAGATCTGAGTCATGTTAGGGCAAAAAATCAGATTTGTGCCACTTTAACCTGGTAATGTGAACAAAGCCTATTAGAAATAAAGGTTCTGTGCAGGTATGTTTTTGTTCATCAAGGTACAAACAATGTAAATGTTCCCTCAAAGGTACAACAGTGGTTTTAAGATCCAGTTGTGCACCTTAAATGAGTTTTTCCAGGTGAAAAGTATGTATTTGTATCTTTTCATAACCTAATGTTTTAAAACAGAACAATAAAATAAAAAGCCCCAGTGACAAGGGGGGGCACTGCCCCAGTGACGGTTTCGTAAATTTTTTTCTGAAAGTGCAAATGTCACCTGCTACTACATGATTATGACATGTTTATGACATGTCAGTGGATGTAAAGTGTTATTAGTATTAGTAAGTGTAGCCTGTGATTTTGATGATTGTTACAGTCAAAGTCTATCTTGACGCCTAGGGCATTATTTCCCTCCTCCTGGCTCACATTAACAGGTAAGACATTAATGATTAACCCTAAGTGGAAAGGCAGCTACTGCCCCACCTTATCGTCCCCCACAGTGGGGGAAAATTTGCCCTTTGGATGATCTTAGGAAGGTAATACAGTGCTAAACACTCAAACAATGTGTTAGATCACGGTATGCCTTCTGTGTGATCTATTTTAGCACATTTTGAGTCCTTGTGTTAAATATGTGTTAAAAGTAACACAGCATGTCTTTAACTGGACAAAGAATAAGTGTTCAGCTCAAATCTGGGCAACGTTAAGGTTTAATAACCTTTGAATGCGGCTCAGTAAAGTCAGACTCTGTTAGAGTGATGATAAAACAGCTTAATCTCACGGCTTCTTAGCACGACTGACAGCTTCCTTTTCACTCTGATCTGAAAATGTGATAGCTGTTTATTTATGCACGTCTCTCTCTCTCTCTCTCTCTCTCTCTCTTTCTCTTTCTCTCTCTCTCGCTCTCCCTCTCTGTCTATCTCTTGCTCTCCCTCTCTCTCTCTCTTTCTCTCATGTAAACGGATCTGTGCGGATGCAACCCGGTATTGATTTTTCTTCCTCAAGCCGCATGTTATGAGAAGATGTGCTCTTCCTTTCCTTGCTCCTTAGAGAGAGAGAGAGAGAGAGAAAAGAGAGTGTGAGAGAGGAAGGGGATAGTAAAAAAGGTGAAGAAGGAAGATACACACACATATATATATATATATATATATATATATATGTACAGAGAGAGAGAGTGAGAGAAGATAAAGAAGATATAAAGAGTAAAGAGGGTGAATGATAAAGAGAGAGATAAGAGAAGTGAAAGACAGTAGAGAGAGAAGGGAGAGAAAGGAGCGAAAAGGGAAAAAGAAAAGGGAGACAAGACAGAGAACAAAGAAAGAATGAAAGAGAATGGAGAGACGAAGAGAAAAAGGGAGTGAGAGAGAGAGAGACTAGTAGAGAGGGAAAAGGGAAAGAGAAAGTGAGAGAGAAGAAAGAAGGAAAGGTGGAGAGAGAGAGAAGCGCTAAAGGGAGAGAGATAAATAAAGATAGGAGACAGAGAGAGAAATCGAAAGGAAAGAGAAAGAACAAAGTGAGAGAAGGAAGAAAGGAGAGAGACATAGTAGAGTGAGAGAGAAGGGAGGGACTGATAGAGAGAGAGAGAGAGAAGAAAGAAGGAGAAAGGGAACAAAGGAGAGGGAAAAAACAACAGAAAGAAGGAAGAAAGAGAGAACAGGGAGAGAGAGGAAGAAAGAAGGGGAGTGAAAGAGAGAGAAAAGAAAGAAGTAGAAAGAGAACAAAGAGAAGCGAGAGAGAAAAGACAACAGAAAGAAGGAAGAGAGAAAGAGGGACAGATAAAGAGAGATAGGAGAGAGAGGGAGAGAGAGAGCACTAGATCTGTGCTGTGGTGTCTGAAGAAGGGTAAGTTTTGTGGTTGCTCCTCTTTGGGTTCTGTTACTGTATACTAGCCTGTTTTCTATTTTAAGTTGCATTGTAAGTTACTTAATATAGCTCAGTAAAGCTCTGAGTGTCAGTGAAGACAAAGACTGCTTCAACTGTGCCATCAAGAGGCTACAAATACAGTAGCAATGATAAATACAGGAGAATTCATAACCTAATAAGGACCTTCCGATAGCAAAGCAGTGGGTTTTGTTTGTTTGTTTGTTTACGACACTTAAAGAATATTTGTTCTTTCCCAAAAGTGACACTACAAAGAAGTACATGTACAAAACACAATAGTACGTCATCATAATGGGTCTATAAGTCTATAATAATCATGGTGGTAATGATCTCTCCCTCTCCCTCTCCCTCTCTCTCTCTCTCTCTCTCTCTCTCTCTCTCTCTCTCTGGGTCTCTCTCTCTCTCTCTCTCTCTCTCTCTCTCTCTCTCTCTCTCTCTCTCTGGGTATCTCTCTGGGTCTCTCTCTCTCTCTGTCTCTCTCTGGAAGGCGTGCAGGAGCAGGTTAATGATCATTGTCAGAGCGACGCAGTGGCCATTGGCTGCTGTAGTAGCCGCTCTGATAAGGAAGGAGTGAGACGCTGGACTGAAGCAGACTTTGTCCAGGAGGGTGGAATGAGCTCACTGACTGTACCTGCCTGTCTGTGTGTCTGTCATTTCTACAGCTGTGTGATGAGTGAACTGGACTGTAAGGGACTCGGGTCGTACGATCGTTTTCAGAGTGACCTGCGCTGCTCCAGAAGCTAGACTCCTCTCTGCTCATGAGTGGACAGTAGAAAGTCCAGTGGAAGCCCTCTTACCTGCTCTATAAACTCCTCTCAGGTGAGTCAGAGTGTTTTTTATTTATTTATTTTGCTGGAAAAGTGCTGCAATGAATGTACTCGATTCATGTACAGTCGTATGCACACATTGTCAAATGACATGTTTTGATGATTATCTAAGTGAAAATAAGTATTATTTGGTGAATTTAAAAAAAATGTGAGGGGGAAAAAAGTTCCCTCCTGTGCAAAAGTTATGGCACATTTAAGATGTTATGTTTTATTTTTTTCATATATGGTAAATTTAGAGAAAAAAAAAAGAAATTGTGCACTAAAATTTATTTTCGCTTAGAAAAAATATATAAAATAAAATAGTAGAATGTATAATAACAGACCCTAATAAATAGCTATTTAGTCATTATTGAGTAGTTCTTAAAATGATTACATAATTCTTACATATACATTAATACATGTAACATTTGGACCATAAATGCTTTATTGGCAAGAATTGTAATTATCAACTGTTGCCAAAGCAAGAACTAAAATATCTAATATTAATAGTGATAATATTGGGGAAGAAAACTTTAAAATATGTTATTAATAAAAGCTTAATAAAAAATAAAATGTATTATTTAATAGTTATATTAGTAACATTTTTACTATTTAGCAATTGTGCTCAAACTGCATGTGAAATAAGGAAAGAAGTAGGTAGTTATATTCTTGGACCTTGTGATGTATAAATGGCTAACAATACATAATTCATCATTATTACATGGTGGCTATATATAGTAATATTACTAATGATTATGTTGCTATAATTCAAAATAATCATTCATTATTTGCATTCACTAAGTAAGTTCTGAATCATTCAAATGGTGCATTTATTAAGGCATATCTAACCATTTTAATTACAGAATTGTTAGATTTTACTATAATCTGTCAATTATTATTTTATGTTATAACAGTTCTATAATTATTAACAGTGATTTACAAGGTGTTGGATAATAATTAAGTTGCTGTTTATTAGAGTCTGTTATTATGAAGTGCTATATATCCTATCCAACTGAAAATGATGTGTGCTTGTGAATCAAGTACATTCAGTGCATTATAATGGGATTATAAAGCAGCATAACATGCCAATCAAAACATTTTCCCACTTCTCTTCTTCCTGTTTGGTCCAGCTTAGAGCCTTGGCCAACTGTAGTTATTGTTAACCAACATTCTTCCTGAAAACAATGATCTGTTTCTTATTTTACATTGTTTTAATAAGCATTCACGTTATTGATATCAGTCAATGTAACAAAATAAAAGTCAAAATGTCATTGAGGCTGATAGCCATGAACCTGAGTGTGTGTTTGAAGTGTGTCATGTAGCTAGCATGCCGTTAGGTGCATTTCAAAGGCCTCCGACTGGCTTGCAAGTCATAAAACACGAAACAGGGGCAATAATATGAGCTAATCATTCCTCCAAGGAGCTTTAAAAACCTGATCTTAATCTCGCTCTGCACGAGTTAGACAAAGGTAAAGTGGGGTGGGGGTGGTTGTTGCTTTTGATTGGGCTGTTTTGGTTCCTTATTCTGATCAAATTATTCCTAGATTTGTTTTGCTTCTTAGAGACAAAGCTAATTTAGATAAGCAGTAATAGAGGCTTGCGTACTGATTAATATACTCCCCAGAAACTGCTGTGGAACCTGAGACTTAGCTTGTAGCGTTTTTCGACGAATGAACCCTTGTAGGACTGTTCATGTGTTTATATCTCTTATGATATACATGTGGCAGTACAATCTTATTAAAATATCAATAATACACCCTTTAAAGATTATATGTACCAAATATGGTAGTATACATATATATAAAATTACACTTATATATTTGCAATGGCCTAGCAACATCTTAGTAACCACTTGGGATATTGTGGAACAGCAACAGCCTAGCAATACCTTAGCAACCACCTAGGATACCATAGCATTGGCCTAGCAACATTTTAGTAACCACCTGGGATATCATAGCAATGGCCTAGCAACATCTTAGTAAAAACTTGGGATACTATAGAACAGCAACAGCCTAGCAACATCATAGCAACCACATAGGATGCCATAGCATTGGCCTAGCAACACCTTAGCAACCATGTAGGATGCATAGCATTGGCCTAGCAACGCCTTAGCAACCTCCTAGGATGCCATAGCATTGGCCTAGCAATGCCTTAGCAACCACGTAGGATGCCATAGCACTGGCCTAGCAACACCTTAGCAACCACCTAGGATGCCATAGCATTGGCCTAGCAACACCTTATCAAACACCTAGGTTGCCATAGTATTGGCCTAGAAACACCTAAGCAACCATGTAGGATGCCATAGCATTGGCCTAGTAATACCTTAACAACCACATAGGATGCATAGCATTGGCCTAGTAACACCTTAACAACCACCTGGGATATCATAGCAATGGCTTAGCAACACCTTAGCATCCACCTGGGATACCACAGCAATGGCCTAGCAACGCCTTAGCAACCCCCTGGGATGCCATAGCATTGGCCTAGCAACATCTTAGTAAAAACTTGGGATACCATAGCAATGACATAGCAACACCTTAGCAACCACCTAGGATACCATAGCATTGCTTAGGAAAATCTTAGCAACCACCTAGGATGCCATAGCATTGACCTACTTACACCTTAGCAACCACTTGGGATACCATAACAACAGCATAGCAACCTCATAGCAACACTATGATAACTACTTGGATTTAATTATCAAAAAACAATCAACAGTGTTCTGCAAGTGCTTTACCTTTTGAATCGTTATCAACACAATGTTGATGTTCTGTTCTAGAAAAATCTTGAAGGGGTTTAGAACCTTTACAGTATAATCGATGTCTTTTAGCCCTTAAAAAGATGCTTCACACTTGCAAAAAAGGTCCAACCATCCTTTGAAAGATTCTTTTGGGGAACCAAAAGTGGTTCTTCTATGGCATCACTATAGAGAACCCTTTTAATGCCTTTATTTTCACTCAGACCTGGCCTGCCAGTTGCTACGCCCTCAGCTTCAGATGTTTGAGATGTTCGGAGTCATCCTGTTGGCATTCAGCCATTTGGTTTGTTATTAAAATGACGTCAGAGTGCTTTGAAGCCTCTTGGACACTCCAGTCCAGCCCCATCTAATTACACTGTGCACGGGTTATTGACAAAAGGCTTTTGTTTGACATTCTTTGTTACTGAGGGTTTTATGAGCCTCTGTCTAATCTAGGGAATGTTCAATGTCCAGGAGTGAAGGCAAATAGGATCACATGCGTGTCATTTCTGTCAACATAGCAGAAAAATAAGTTGATGATTGTATAATTACAAAAGATACGTAGGTTATAATCGGGGCTAATTCAGGTCAAATGTTGTCCCAGATTGTGTTTTGTAAAGTGATCTACTTTATACAGACTACAGGACTGATGGAGCTCCATCAATCCACTGCTCCACAGCTCAATGCTGGGGGCTTTATACCCCTCTAGCCCACCCCATTCTATTGGTCGGTGCTTTTCTATGGAGATGGAGAGCTGTGTGCATGCAATTGAACACTGTCAACAATGGGTGCACCACCAAATCCACCTCCCAAGATATTTCCCCCTTTTTTTAATTCAGACTGCTTTTATCTAACCTTGCCACTTAAGAAATCCAATAAAGAGAGCTGGATTATAGCTCAGTAATCAGATTTCTCAGTGCATGTGAACTCTTACTCTGATTTCTTTCGGTTTTCTCAATCTGTGCATGTGATAAAAAAAGACACCGACACTGGAAATAAGTGAGCAGCATTGCCATGAGACACAGCGAGTCTGTGTTGAGCTGCTAGCGAGCAATGAGGAGTGCAAGGGTGAACAATTCACACTTGTCCACAAAGACGGCCGTGCTGAGATTAAACAGCACAACTGCAGCTTTCTTCATAACAAGCAACGCTGTGTAACTAACACAAATCAACATATAGCTCTACTTTTGCATATATGATAATAGGAGATGTTAATGGACATTCAGATTATTTTGTTTTGAGAAATGGAAATTGATTTTTTAAAAATGTATCCACCTGAATTCCCACTCCAAATGGAGAATGACCCACTTACATAACAGAAATGACTTGTCAGATGAGGAGAACCACAAGCTATCACGGTTCCTACCCAGCTGTCTGGATATTTTGCCTCAGTTTGTTGCATTTCTTCTGGCTGAAAGGGTAAAAACTTGTCTCTAGCATCTATTTTGTGCTGAAAAAAGACAGAATCGATATAATTGGTTGTATTTCTTAGCCTATAGCTCAGTGGCTAGGCTAGCAGTCAGGATTAGTTGACACCACAGGGATTCCTCAGTGGTTGTATATCACATTTGCCAGCACTGTAGTGAGAGAATAATGATGAATGACAACCATATAACATTATGAATTCCATCATACCAGTGAGGCTGAGGGATGCAATGCTGAGCTACAGAATGCTGCTGTAATGTGACAAACATATTAGAGTTTTAGGTCCGAACGCCCCTTTAAATATTAGTATATAGATAATGTAGCTCTACAGCTGCTTTCACTGCGGGTGGGTCAGGGAGATATTTGCAGCACCCCCTGCTGATTTGGAGGATACATAATTAATGTAGCATTTGGACTCCTGCTGGTCAAGGATGCCGAAGCTACCTGCTGACACAAGATTGACCTAAGCAGAAACACATACAGCACACTGGTATACCCGCTAGCTTTATACTGTAAATAAGTATCATTATTTACTATCAGACTTTACTGTATGTTTGTATACAGCCTGCATCCCTGCAGTAGGAGCATATCAGCTATTATGGGCTTCTTAGCATGAATTTGGCATCATATTTGTGCTTTTGCATACAGTGTTGTTGAATTTTGGGTCGTTTCTCCGTAGAGTTTCTCATGGTGCCCTTGTAGGCTCCTCAAAGTTAATTCACCCCTGAAGTGCTTTGCGTCTTGGTGGCTTCACGTTGTAGCATGTGAGTTTTACTGGAAGGCGGGGTCACTGTTCGGGAGATTTCAGTGAAGCTGTGGGTTCCAGCAGGGACCACCATGGAAGCGAAGCTGAAGGAGCTGCGGCAGAAACTGGAGAAGCAATGCCAGGTCAACCAGGAGCTGCAGAACCACAACCAGGACCTGGGTAAGGAAGGCGGGGAAAAGGGAAAGAAAATATATGTTATGCTGTCCAGAAAGCTGGAGAGTTGCGTACTGAATTGCTCTTTCTTTAGCATCTATCTAGCTCATATGTAGTGCTGTGAGCTTATGTGCACAGACACAAAGAAAATGGGAATTTGATTGTTTCTTGGTGCCATTTATTATGATTCTGTAATATGCAATACTGAGAAAAAGTCAGAGACCATCCTTCATTTATTTAATTCCCAGTCAAAACAGTTCTTTAGGACTGTAGTTCAAAAAATGATTAAAAGCTACAGAGAAAGTGGGCCTCCTAACAACCCTCTGGAAGACCTGGTAGACACCAAAACTGCCCCCCATCAGATAAACAGCACTTAAAGCTTTCATCTTTGAGAGGGAGGAGAAAATCAAACTGCTTCAGATCTGAAAACATCCACAGGTGTTTCAGTCCATCCTTCCACTGTGAGAAGACGACTCAGCGCTGTGGGTCTGAACGGATGTGTAGCTGTCAAGAAGAACCTCACTGAGAAAAGGAGACGGACACATCAAACAAAGAAGCTGAACAATGGACTGACCACCCCAGAGTCCAGACCTCAACATCACTGAATGTGTTTGGATTACTTCAGAAAATGATCAACCACTTCTAAGACTGAACTTTGGCGTGTGGACGCACTAACCACTAAAACATCTGATTGGCTTCTGCTCAATTTTCTGTTAAATGTATTTTTTCCTTTTTTCTGATGCTGAAAAATGAACAACTTATATTTAATAGCAGTTTTAACTGGAAATTAAATAAATACAGGGTGGTCTTTGACTTTCGCACATTGCTGTATACATTTAAACATCTAATGCATTCATTTATTACAAGGTGTGTGATTGCTATGCTAATAAATGCTTCTTCTTCTGCATCTTCAGAGAAGAGGTTGAAGGAGAAGGAGAGGCTGCTGGAGGAACTGCAGAGTCGTCTGGATGAGCTGGGTGTGTATTTGTGTGCATTTGTGTTTGAGCAGGAAGTGAATATTGTCTTTGCTGAATTCACAGTGGATAAGTGGTTAAAGGATAAAAGGGTCATTTTCTGGTTTCTCTGGTTTATCTCTGCTAAGCTGCGTAAGAAGGAGCAACAACAGTGTCTATAAAGCTTAATTTAGACACGCTTACTTCATCATGACTTTGCTGAACTGGATCGTGGTTGTGGGTAAAGAGTAGATGGGCCCCCATTTCCCTTTCCTGTTCTCATTGACTTTCCTTCCAACCTCCAAAACCGCAGTGAGCTAATCAGCTAGCCATGCAAACTTTGTAATTGTCTTTGAAAAGTCTTTGAGAAGTCTGAGCATAATGCAGGTAATTCTTATAAATAATTGCTTTATCTGGTTATAAGCCTTGCTTTAGAACTGTGGTGCGTTGCTTTGTTTTTAGTTGGTACTGTCTGTGTAGTCTTTAGCTTCCTAGCAAGCTAGCAGCCTTGAATTACAGGTGGAAAAGTTTGCCATGTAATTTCGGGCAAGTTGTGAGGCTGAAGTCAACACTTATGTTTAAGGGGTCAACTGAAAATCTAGCAATGAAACGCCCCTCAAGATGGCCCTGGGGATTCTGAGGGTCAAGTGGACGTGGGCATGAGCATGGACAAAAAGTTTTCGGTAACACTTTCTATGAATGTCATGTTTGTAAGCATCTATAAACACATTCATAACATGTTATAATGCCTTCATACGGCATTATAAACATGATTATAAACATTTATAAAAATGAATTACACTGGATTACACTTTATAGCCATGTTTATTATACATTATGAATTGTTAATATAATGCATTATAAGTAGTGTTGATAACGTTATACTGTCAGTGCCAAAGAAGTCAGTCCCAGCTTGGAGAGCGTAAAGTAAAGACAAATACCAAGCTAACGGTGGTGTACATTGACCTTCCCACACTGGGTAAAACACTGATGGCAGCTCTAGTTTAAATTCTGACATTTGAAGCCTGTAATGTGCTTTATTGTGAATGTTTTAGTGTTTCAGTAAATCCTTCAGTAAATACTTCAACTTGAAGCCTCACTCTGAACACTGGAGGAGGCTTTAGTACAGTACGCTTCACTTTACTTAGAGCGGACAAATACAACTTATGAGCTCTTATAATTTGTTATGAATAGTACTTATAATGTATTATGTAAACAATTCATAATGTATAAGAAGCATGGCTATAACGTATAATGCCTTTTTATAAATATTTATAGCCATGTTTATAATGCCTTATGAATGCATTATAACATGTTATGAATGTGTTTATAGATGCTTACAAAGGTGACATTCATAGAAAGTGTTACCAAGTTTTCTGGACTGGGCTTACATCTGCATCATACATGCTTAGACCCCGTTTACACCTGGTCATTTAATGTCATTTGTATCTGGATTGTAGTCTGATGAGAAGTCCATGCTGGTGTAAGCTGGAAGTTTCTTTCAAATGTGGCTTGCAGAGATGCACCGATACCACTTTTTCCTTTCTGATACTGATACCTGATCTTTTAGTATCGGCTACAGGGTGGACCAACAACTTAATTTAGTAATTACTATTGTCATATATTCATGTTTAACAACTGAACAGTATACAGATAAACTTGGGTTGTTTTTTCTGGCTTGGTTGCTGAGTGATACACTGAGGTGCACCGCAGATGGGGCTAGTGGACGCACAGGCCTGGGTAGCAAACTGCTATGCTAAAGGCTAAATTGAGGCTAAAGCTATCATTACGCTGTGAGTCCAGCAGTTCCTTCCACTCTGTCAGTAACATTAACTCAGACTGTAAGTGACCACACAGCGGCAGACAAGTGATCACTGAAAGAAGCAGCTCAGCTGTTCCGGTAAGCGGCTCCGTTAGTGTGTTTTTCACACCAAATGCTGCCGTTAAAGATTCTGCCATGAGCGTTTTTACAGCTGCTTGTCATCCTACATCACTGTTGTTAAGTTCTGTCTACTGGCCATTGCGTCGTGGTGTCAGTCATAGTTATTGGTATCGCCATCACCGATACTGCGTTTAAGTGCCAGTATTGGCAATATGGTATCGGTGCAACACTAGTGGCTTGGGGAAACAGATGCATTTGAACTTGTATAACATTTGGCTAAAATGTGCCTCAGACCACCTCCCGAATTGGTTTGAGTGATCGGATTTAAATCTGTTTTAAATGCGTCTTGGGTCCATTTACACCTGCATTTTATGTGGATATTCTCCTGATTCTTAAGACACATGAAATGACCAGCGGTAAACGGGCCTTTCAAGATGGTGGCAGGGATTCCAGTGTGGAGCAGAAGTCTTGAAGTGTCTTTCTTTTCCAGGAATCAAATGCAGAGAAAGCCGATGGTTTCTGAGTACGACACTCAGCCCACATTTCTCCAGGGATTCTATCTCTGTAGTTAGCTAATGCACATTACATTGAGACCGGTTTACTGACTGAACAGACTGACCACCTCATAAACCTTGTCTTGTGCGGATCATCTAATTTTGCTTAAATTTGCAGAAATGCTTGTTAAATAAGACTAGATAAAAACAGATAGTTTAACAATGTACTGATGTTCTGAAGTGTAGGCAGAAATACTTTCCTACCATGCCTGTCATTTATTGGATGTAAATTGGACTGTAGGCCAAGGATTGGACACTTATTTAGTCTTGCTGACTTTAAGCATATTAACAATAACAATACACATCTACAGGTATGTATATTTTACATGCTTTTCAGTATGTTACAGAATTTACTGAATGCTGCCTTTGTCCTTTCCCTTTGAGGCTGTTTACTGACTATGTGCATGTTTTATCAGGGGGTCAGTCTCCAAGGGAAAGCAATGACGGTGTTCAGGAGGTACGGCAGAGCAGGACAGCAGTCATGGCTCTGGAGCCGATCCCAGAGGACCTGGACATCCAAGCCACCAAAGTCAAAAAGACTGCCAGGTGAATACCTGCCTCCAGACCCAAAACTCTTTAAAACAGAAATCCCAAGGTCAGTCCACAAGTGCAGATTAGGCTACACACTCAGTGTGTTGGAATGGAGCAGCAAGTTGAGCTGGTTGGGGATCCATGAGGACTGTCTGAGAAACCACTACTCCAAAGAAATGTTGCCTTGAAAAAAGGTGCCACAGCAATATGTGAACAATGACAGCACGCAGCCATGAAACTGTTGCTATGGCGATGTTGTGGATGATTGTCAGTGGAATAAGTGTGTGATTATCAGAGGAGGGCTTTTTTGTTTGGTGCTTGGTGCATCTGGACTTTGAAAATGAGACTTATGGTGTGTCCAGAAAACTCAACATCTGGTTCATTTCACCATAGTTGACAGCAAAAGTTGGGAAAAACTCAATGGAACATTTCGCTGACCACTGCGGTAAACTAATGTTGCCACTAGTGGTGGTGGAGTTTTTCTGCTCCAGTAAAGTCAATGTCCCACTTTATATTGACCATCTACTGTCACAATGTAAACATAGTACTAGGGTCAGTAAATGGGACCCACAGTTCAATTACTCACTTTTGTAACTACAACTACACATTTGTTTCATAGTAGATACTGAATCATTTGTAGTAGTTACTGAATAATTCTTAGTAGATACTGTAGTTAGTACTCTACTGTACTCTACTGTAGTCAAAACATAACAATTGTATGTATGTTTGTGTTGTAGTGAGAGAGCTCAGATCATAAAGGCGATGGGGAGAAATGACTTCCTGAGTCGTTTGGATGAAGAACAGATCAGCATGATGGTGGAGCTGCTGACCTCTCTGGACCGTTGCCCCGGCGACGAGATCATCAAAGAGGGCACGGAGGGCGACAGCATGTACATTGTTGCAGGTTTGCCTGTGTCTGTATCTGTTTGTGGATTTGAGAGAAAGAGAGTGACAAATGTTGCATATTGCCTGTCCATCAATGGGCCACAGAACCACAACTGACCAGATATTATTTGGATGGTTGAACTGCAAAGAATCATTTTCAGCACAGTGGTGTTCCTCACATGGTAGTGTGTGTGTGGTGCTGGTACAAGTGTATCAAATACAGCTGTGGTGCTGGAGTTTTTACACACATCAGTGGCTGGTTGAGAGTGAACCACCACCTAAAAATGTGTAGTCAAGAGCAGCTCTGTGGTCAGCTCCACACCAGCGGGGGAGGGGTTTCTGATTAAGTGGCCAATGATTATCTGTGTTTTCATGCATGTGTAGGGTATAAGACGTCCTACTGTATGTGTAAACTGTATTGGATGATAAGTAATCCCTCTCTTCATTACAGCCGGTGAGCTCAAAGTTACTCAGTCAGGGCGTGACCTGCGGACTTTGACCTCTGGGGATGTGTTCGGGGAGCTGGCCATCCTGTACAACTGTAAACGGACTGCGTCGGTCAAAGGTCAGTTCCTAGCTTGGTACTAGGACAACCCCTTGCAGTTGACCTTAACACAGCAATCACCTCTATGCATGTGGCTTTTGCCCACAGTCTTGAAGTTGAATGTATAAAAAAGCAGCGCCACATACACCTCGCTGGACCAGGTGACCTTCTTCCATTGCTCCACGGTCCAGTCCTGAAGCTTGCATGGCCATTATATGTGCTATCAGGGGTTAGCATGGGAACTCTGACTGGTCTATGCAGCTACATACACAGCAGGGTGTGATGCGCTGTGTGTTGTGACCCATTCCTCCCGTGACCATCATTAAAAATATCTATGACTTGTGCATAGTAGCCCTTCTGTTAGTTCAGACCAAACGGCATGGCAATCATTGTCCACTTCCTTCAAAGAGTCTTAGGTGCTCAGCACTTCATGGTCGCCCATTCATGGTGTGTCCCTCCTTGGACCACTGTCAGTAGGTTCTCGGTACTGTTGACCGGGAACACCCCACAAGCCTTGCCGTTGTGGAGATGATTCGACCCAGTTGTCTGGCCATGACGATCTGGCCTTTGTCAAAGTCTCTCAGGTCTTCACGCCTGCCCATTTATCCTACATCCAACACGTCAACAACAAGAACTGACCTTCACATGCACTGTTGTTATTTGCTTTATCTGTGTGTGGTCCTAATGTTTTGGCTCAGCGGTGCATGTTTCTATTTAGTACCACACACATTTCTATCTATATCTATCTGTCTATCTGTCTATCTATACAGCGGTCACAGCTGTCAGGTTATGGTGCATTGAGAGACAAACATACAGAAGCATCATGACCAGCAAATCCAAGAAGAAGCGGGAACAGCTGATGGGCTTCTTAAAGACGTGAGAGCTCTTCTTTTACTTCAGTTTATATTTGACCAAGGTGCTGACGTTCCTCTCCTATGTTAATGTAAATTCTCTGATTTTTAATGACCTGAAGTAGCATAATTGGATACAAGACTGTATTGTTGTAACTGAATTTAACCTCAGTGTAATAGCCGAAGTTTATTTAACTTATTTTGGATCTGTTTTACTCTGATACGTAATGGGCTGGAAAGAATGTGCATTGATGTTTTCAGGTGTTACACTGTGTAAACGTATGCAGGGTTTGTATAATGGTCAGTTTGCTTAAGGCTGTCTGTCTTTCCCAGTGCTCGCACTCTAAAAGCCCTGAATGAAGAGCAGCTCTCTAATATCATTGACTCTATGGAAGAGGTTTGTACCAACCAGCTCTATCACTCTCTCACACATCTTTTCTGGTTTCCCAGCTGGACCGCCCTAAATTCATAAAAAATGACAGTGTGTTAGCATATAGCTGTCATCTTTGGTCATTTTTCAGTTTTCGACATAATTTGAAAATACCTGTTGCTCTTTACATTGTGTGAAAATTTCATTAAATTATGAATGAACACATGTACAATTAAGCAGTGATAAAAAAGTGTTAGATAAATCTTTTAATTCGGATTATTCAGTAATACTTTATGAAAACAGGCCCCTATGAATAGGAACTTATTATTGTCTAATAATTTGTTAGTGATTGTTCAGAATTATGTTATTGTTACTTGTGCATTATTAATTGCTACCATTTTAATTAATGACCAGGGTGCCCAAACTTTTGCACATGACTGTATGGATTAATAAATGGTACTATTTGAATGATTAACCTTTTAATTGGTGACATACAGATGATCAATTACTATTTGTAGAATTGTAGAAACTTAATCTTTAATTCTAGTATAAACACTCATAAATTATATAGCTCAACATATTAACCATTTACTTAGTTGAATAAAATTAATGTGATGCAAAACTGAATATTCTAAATGAGAAACATCTTCTGTTTTAGGTTATTCAGTAATACTTACTGAAAAAAGGCCCCTGTAAATAGCAACTTAATCACTGTACAATAATTTGTTTGGGATAATTGTTTTATAAATGATTATAGTTATAATTATATTACATATAATTATTTTATTATTATTTGTGCAAGTGCTATCATGCAATTAATGACTTAAGACATACATAATAACGTTGCAACTTTCTTTTAAATGAGGGGTCCAATGATTATAAATGTTAAAAAAGGTATACATAACTACTAATAATGATTAACTAATAATTAAGAATGTATCATATTGATTTTATTCCATTAACTAAATGGATAATATTTCAAGTTATATAATTAAAGATTAGGTTTCTATGACTCTGGTAATCAGTTAATTTTTTGTCACTAATTAAAAGGTTAATAATTCAAATGGTAGCATTTATTAATTTATTCAGACGTGTGCAAACATTTAGGTGTGCCTGGTCAAATGTCAAATGAAAACCTTGTATCTCCATTTTGGACATTTTTCAGTTTTTGACATAATTTGAAAATGCCTGTTACCCTTTACAATGTGTGTAAATTTCATGATGAATGGACTAAAAGAAATGACCAAAAATGACTTGGAAAAAAGTCTGGCTCCACTGACTCACATTAAAAGTAAAGTAAGTATTTTCCTTCTCCTGTAAAGTTACCATTTTGGAGATGGTCCGACAACAACAATTAATGTGTTTTACTTTATATTATATATATATATATATATATATATATATATATATATATATATATATATATTACTAATTAAATTCATGCTTAAGGTTTCATGAAGGTCATTAATGGATATGTATCTAGTCTAGGACCACATATGAAAGAGGCTCAGGTCTGAGAAAGATCTAAACCCTGAAGAAAAGTCACACTGACCATTCCTGCAGCCTGCTAACGTGAACGTAGCAAGACTGTTTTAAGATTATGAAAAATACATATACAATCAGGTGTGTTCTTACTTTTGACTGACACTGTACATTCAGTTCAGGTTCATATTTAGACTTTGAGTCAAAAAGAGTGACCACTCTACCCTGGACTCGCCATCACCGAGCTTTATAAACATGAGTCATGGATGAGTTTGACTGTTTGATTGACCCATGCATTGCCCACTTGTAGGTAAGGTTTCAGGACAATGAGGTGATCGTGCGAGAAGGTGCTGAGGGAGACACGTTTTACATCATCCTCAAAGGAGAGGTGAGGGGGGGCGGGTTGTTTGAGTGTGACACCTCTTCGTTGTTGCCAAAAGATCTTATAAACATTATTGTTGATCTACTGTCGTTTTTATATAGTGTAATAAAAAAGGTTGACATAAGATTATTGAAATCATTTCCCTTGAATTCTCCCTGCTCAGGTCCTGGTAACAAAGAAAGTAAGCGGGCAGCAGAAAGTCATCCGTAAAATGGGCCAAGGGGAACACTTTGGAGAGCTTGCCCTCATACGGTAAAATGCAGTTTTCATTTCCATGTGCAGTTAAGTTTAGTTTCAGTTTGTAAGAATTAATTCATAGCTTAGCTTATATACTAAGTATGACTTAGCATTTTTATTTGATATATATATATATATATATATATATATTTCTGTTTAACTACTTAGCGGGTGGCGTTTTTCCTGATGTGGAATGTTGCTTGTGTGACACAACCATAACCATAACACTTATTCTTCTTTTTTGCTAAATAATTTTAAATTAAAATATTACTTTTTTTTTACACATCTCTGCTACAATTGAAAATATAAAATGTTTGGCTCCCACTATTTGTAAACAATTCAGCTGAAAGCAACTGTGAAAATGTTACAACTTGCCCCATAAGTGGGATTAACTGTAATAGGCTGAGGGGCTAGTTGTGATACTCACTATAAAAGTCAATCAATGCACAATTAATTCAAATTCTATGTTTTTTGAACCAAAACAAGCTTTCTAACCTAAATATTCTCTCATTCTTTGCTTTGAGCGGCTTAGAACACTGTATTAAAACTACCTCCACCATGTGGAGGCTGTACTTTAGCCTGGCTTTCTCTGACTGTGAATTAATTTTAAGCTAGTTAACAACAAGCTAAAGTAAAATCAGAATTCATATATATATATATATATATATATAACGATCACTGCTGTCGGAAGAAAACCTTGTATCTCCATTTTTGTCAGTTTTTGACATTATTTGAAAATGCCTGTCCTTTACATTATGTATAAATTTCATGATGAAAGGACTAAAAAAAATGACCCAAAATGACTTGGTAAAAAGTCTGGTTCCATTGACTTACATTAAAAGTAAAGTAGGTTTTTTTCCTTCTCCTGTAAAGTTCTCATTTTGGAAGTTTTCTTCCAATCAATGCACAATTTATTCACAGTTCTTTTTTCATTTTTGACCACAATAAAATTGACAAAAAATGTTTGATTTGCATTTTGTCTATGGTATATTTTTTAATGAATCTATGAATAAAATGTTCTTAAACTGTGTTGAATTTATATCAGGTATATAGACATCTCTCATTCTTTGCTTTGAGCGGCTTAGTTAGAACACTGTATTAAAACTACCTCCGCCATGTGGAGGCTGTACTTCAGCCTGGCTTCCTCTGACTGTGAGTTGATTAGAAACTCAACAATCAGCATTTTCAAACAGGGACAAGATGACATTACTTCTTGGTACAGATTAGAAATAGCCTGTATACGATGGGTCAGTGAGCTGATTGGGATTAGAGCTACATGCCGAAAGACTCTGAAACACTCGTGCTTGTTTTGCAGTGCGATTTTGAGGACGGCTACCTGCACGGCTGTGGGTGAAGTCACCTGCTTCTCCATTGATAAAGAGTGAGTCTCAGTCAGTCTCTTTCAGATCAGCTTAGAAATCCTACATCTCTGAACTGCTTTATTATAATGTGGTTCAAACATTTCAGGCTCTGTGTTGGTTAAATGTTCTGGTTTCATTACAGGGTTTTTGAGGAGACCATTCCAATAGAAAGTCTGGAACTACATGATGAGTATGATGCTTTTACACTCACTTTCTGTTAACTGTGGTGCTCATTTCTTGGTCAATACTATTATTGCTCAGTATTTATCCTTGTCAAGGTTAAGGAGAAATAACTGGATCACAGCTGTTGATTTTGGACTTTTCTGTTTTGAGCAGTTCGGAGCTGGAGAACACCGACACTTCAGAGAAAGAGAGGTAAGATACACAACAAATAGAAGATGAACAGATGTGTTTTTTTGCAATATTACAGAAACATAGAGCCTGCCCAATATATCGCTTAGTTGATAATATCAGCTGATATTGAAGACATTGTATTTTAATTCAATTAAATTAGCAGTTTAGTTTCATTGAAACCAGCAAAAATATTGTCAGTAACATGACAGTAATTACTGAGTTTTCGGTTGTGCCATCACTGAGATTAGAACTTAGAGTCCCATATGAGACTAACTGTGAAATGTAAATATAAAATTATATCAGCCAATATTATCAGTTATTGGAATTTGTAGCCCCTTAAAATTGGTATCGGCTGAAAAATATTGACTGTAGTGTTCTTCTCTGATTGTCCACTCCAGGCTAGAGTCTTCTCTAAAGCAGCTGAAGGATCTGATCCCCGTCCTATACCAGGAGGGCCGTTACCAAGGCGAACCCGTCACCCTTGGCCTGGGGGGCTTTGGACGAGTGGAACTGGTACTGTTGGATGCTGTGATGCTAAACTGACACCCAAATGTTTTCCTGATGCTTGACCTGCCCACAACCACTCACCTTCCACATTAAACCGATAAACTGAAATTTTTTCCAGACTTAAAGTCCAGTCAGGGCTTTTTGACCTTGTTTGATTTGCAGGTAACCACACTGCATCATGGGAAGTACTTTGCCATGAAGAAGGTCAGCAAGAAGCTCATAGTGGAGAAGCGTCAGGGACCGCATGTCATATTTGAGAAGAGAATTCTTCAGGACATTGAGAGTGACTTCATTGTCCGGTGAGTTTTTTTTCTGGCCAGCTGACCTTTGATCTTTCGCTTCCCGCTTCTGACCTCAGTCTGATCCGTCTCTCCTCCTTTAGGCTCCACGCAGCCTTCAAAGACACACGCTACATCTACATGGTCATGGAGTTCTGCTCTGGGGGAGAAATCTGGACCAAGCTGAAAGAAGTGTAAGTTCTGGCTATGTCTGTGCAGCTTTAAAGGCAGACTCAGTGATGATACACTATATGGACAAAAGTATGTGGACACCTGACCATCACAAATGTGGAATCCCCCCCCTCGCGGCTATAACAGTCTCCACTCTTACGTGAAGGCTTTCCACAAGATTTTAGAATCTGTCTGTAGGAATTTGTGCCCATTCAGTCAAACGAGCATTTCTGAAGACAAGTACTGATGGGCTTGCAGTCAACCTTGCATTTCATCTCAAAGGTGTTCAGTGGGGTTGAGGTCAGCGCTCTGTGCAGGCCACTGGAGTTCCTCCACACCAGACTCTTCAAACCATGTCTTTATGGAGCTCACTTTGTTTACACGGTCCGGTCATGCTGGAACAGGAAAGGGTCTTCCCCAAACTGTTCCCCCAAAGTTGGAAGCATATAATTGTCTGAAATGTCTTTGTTTTTATACTGTAGCACTAGCATTACCCTTCACTGCGACTAAGAGGCCCAAACCCTGACAAACAGCCCCGGACCATTATCCCTCCTCCACCAAACTGTACTTTTGGAACTATGTAAATAAATTAATGTTCTACAGGGAAGAAGATATATATATATATATATATATATATATATATATATAATCTACTGATTTTAGTGCACAATTTCTATTTATTTGCTTTAACGTATTGGAAAAACACATAAACATAAAACTTTTGCCAAGACCACATTTATTTTTTTCCAGTATGTTAATTTCAGCACATAAACAATAATTGTGCATTAAAATGTGCAAAAGTGTGTTCTCTATAGAGGATATTAACTTATTTTCACTTAGAAAATCAATGTCATTTGACCAGGGCTGCCCAAACTTTTGCATACAACCGTAACTGTTCTGTGTGTGTTACAGAGGCCGTTTTGATGAGAATATTGCTGTGTTTGTAGCAGCATGTGTGGTCGAGGCCTATTCGTATCTCCACAAGAAAAACATCATGTACAGAGACCTGAAGCCAGAGAACCTCATGCTGGACTCTAAGGGATATGTCAAACTGGTAATTAACTGTCATTAAACTGTCATTTGACTGTCATTAAAAACTTTATTATAATTTTAATATTATTTTACGTTACCATTTCTGCCATCTCTTTATCCCTTAGAAGTTTCTGTTTTTGTTGCTGAGCTTTAAAGGGCCCAAATCATGAAATATTGGATTTCCTCACTTTTTTTGCAATGAAAGAGTTTGAAGTGGTAGGAGAGAGCAGGGCACAACCTAACACATATTGGATTTCGTGAAATAATTAAAATATATTTAAGTTAGAATAATCAGGTTTTTCTACAAGCAACATACACATCTCTGCTACAAATGAACACTTGTACTTTGTTTCTAGCTCCTACTGTTCATGTACAATTCCACCCAAAAGGACGGGAAGTGCAGTGTTACAGTTTAGCCCATGGGCGGGTTCACTGTAGCAGACAGATGGTCAGTTAGTCTGATGAATCAGTGCAAACACAATTAATTCTATATCATTTCATATTGTAAGAAACAAATATATTTTCCAACCAAACTGCATTATGTATTATCTGTCTATTAAACAGACAGACAGCTCAACTGTTAGATACACACACATCAAATTATACATAAAAACTGCCATGAGACTGTGTGTCAAACACTGACACATTTATTTTTCGTCCAGTGAAGGACAGTAATAAAAAACATCACACATCAGTAAAATATGCCACATTGTTTCTGAATAACTACGGCTTTACCATCTGTTAATGTCAATTTCATTAATATACTTATTTAAATACTAACACCTGAAAGATACCAATAAAAGTAGAAGAAAGTCCCTGTTTTCAGATGTTTTCTGTCTTTAATGTTACAGTCTGTGTAAACATATAAAACAAAAAGACTAACTTTACTTTATTTGTCTTTGTTTACTGAAAGTGGCTTAGTTGTATCACTGTGTACCAACTAACCCTGCAGTACAGATGCTGTACTTAAGCCTAACTAGTGCTTGCTGTGAGCTTGTCAGCTGCTTCAGAACGGTTGTCGGCAACGCGATGGTGATTAAATTAACATAAGGTTGGATTTTGTGATTTACACAAACAGCTCAGTAACTGAAAAAAAGGTGTTGAAAGAAATTACTTACATGCCCTGAAAACACACTTTGGCACAGATCTCTTTAAAACGCTGACGAATCGCTCTGAATTTTGGTGGGCGACAGTGGCTAGGAAATGTAGCGATGTGGTCAGAAGCACACGTGCTTGACCTTGTATTACAGCATAAAAAGTCTGTGTTAAATTGTGCTCCACATTAGGTTGCTCCACATTCATGCTCCAGTCCGTGTGGGTCATATATGGAAACTAACCTGAAAAAAAAACAACTTGTTTTGAGTTAATTAATTTTATAATGTTACTAAAAGCATTGCATTTGCATAGCAGTTTAGCCCCACCCACTATCTCTAAAAAATACAGCCCTAGAGTGTTTTTTATAAGAGGCACAATATAGAACTGCCAATCAGGACAGAACTCATTTACATGTACAAGTCTTAAAGACACATCATTAAAACAGCCTGGGGATAAAGAGAGGCTGGAAGTGGCCAGGTATAAATGAATTATCACTGTTTTTGGTACATAAAACTACACAAGTTGACCTCTATGAAAAATATACAATATGGGCACCGTTAAGGCTGATAAATGTAAATGACCTCTGTTCTGATTGGCTGCCCTGTTTGGTGTCTCGTTTAAAAGGCAGTCCCTATAACCTCAACGTGAGCTAACAGGCTAAACTGCAGAAGGCTGGTCGTATGTTAATGTATCCATGGTTGTGATGTCACAGCCATGATGACTTTAAACAAGCTGTTTTTGCCGCTTAGCTTCCATAGATGGACTGGGGAGTGAAGGGTATGTTTTGAAACCTGCACAGTGTTTACAATGTTCATCAAACTCTTTATTTTATTTCAAAAAAGCAGTTCTTCAAAATAAAGGCCCTTTACACTGTGCTGACTTTGAGCATGTGAGTGGTACTT